CTTGAAAATTATCTATCGATTTTCATTCCGAGTCGAGTTTTGTAGCCGGGCGGGGGCGGCGCAGCTTTTCGTTTGTCTGCCTGCCAGCCACGCGGGGGGTATATATGCAGACGAGAGCTTGCGCAGCTTCGTATACGTAATTGCGCGCAGAAGTGAAACTTCTGTAGGTGTGTTTATATTGAGTTTTATGCGGGGGCCGTAGTCGATCTATACGGAACCCGAGCGAGGAGAGAGAGTCTCTACGTCGCTTCGAGTTTCACCGCTAGATGTCGCGATCGAATCCCGCAAGTAAAAACTCAATCGTCAGAAGTTAATTGGTTGCCACGTCCAAATTTTACACAATGATTACAGCCCCGGCTATCAGGTTCACTCAATAATCCAAGGATACCAATCATTGGTGCTTGCGCCAATCACGCAAAATTACGTCTATATAGTAATGAGCTACTCGTGAACTGCCTCGCGCTTCGCAGTTCCGATGCCTATATGATGATTTTACATCATCGTAAAGTAAAATAAATCGATCGATTTCGCGGTGCAGGTGTGTGTGATGGGCAGCCTCTCGACGCGAACGATGAATTTGCGTACAAAATCATCTGTCTATACGCGTATTCAAAGAGAGAGAGAGAGGAAGAGAGAGAGAGAGAGAGAGAGAGAAAGAGAGCGACCGGCACAGGTCGCAAAGCCCACCCGCGCGCGCAAGGATAATAGGATTGCACTATATGTTATACGCCTGTTCTGTAGTGTACGTGCGCGCGCACGAAAAATCGATCCGGGCGCGTGTATAACATAGTATACGTATAGGACGTTTTAAGCTGTGCCGTATATGATGTACACAGCGCATAATATAACGCGTGGAAAGGACTATATATAGCTATATACGCGTGATATGTGCGCATGTCTCTGCGCGCGTACTCGTGTACGCGTCCTGGGCACACTCCACTTAATGGATATAAGATCTGATTTTGGTACTTGAGCATGTATAAGAGTACTTGAGTGGATAGAGTCGCGGAAAAACTCGAGACGTATCGTGCAAAGCAGTCGTTGAAAGCTCGGCTTCTGCAGTTGTAGATCGATTGTAATGTTCGTAATGTACAAAATGAATGCTTTTATTTACTTCTTTTCTTCACAAAACGATGTACATACATAAGTGTAGTTAATTGGATCAGCGAATGACCAGGTGCCAGTGAATGTTAACCATTTTTGAAACGATACAATGAAAAGCCATCAAAAATATATCGCCGCTGCTTATACAGTAAAAACGCACCTCATCGAAATGCCGCGAAGAAAAACACACATCTATGAAAGATCATGATATTTTTGACATGATACGTTAAATCGTGACTCGATGAGAAGTGTGTTTATTTTTAGCATTTTACATTTTACAAACGGGGTTTTTTTCGTAGTGTTTTTCACTAGTTTCTTTTCATAAGGACCGTCGATATAATTGTATGGACGTTATTCAATTCTTTATAGCGAACGATGCGTCTTGTGTTCCTCTGTCGCGATCATCGATATAACTAAGAAAAAAGCATAATGAGTATCGCATGCCATCAAAAATGGCTATTCACCGATCGAAAGCTCCTAATTAGTATGGTCCAAGTTTCCTACGGAAGCTTTAAGAAAGCCAAGTTCGACGCGTGACTCGCGCACTATTAGACCCGCCCAAATCTCGTGGCGCGCGCGATCTCGTACATAAATATCAATTATGCCGTACCGCGACGATCGCGCAATTATATCGTATCGATATATTTTCCGTATAAACCATCTTATGCTATATAGAGTCTATCCATGCACGGCTTCCTTGACCACTATATGTGTATCTAGGTGTGAACGCACATCTGCTTTAACGCTTAGATAAGCACAGTTCCTTATACGCGTTCGAGCTGCATATCTTCGTTACACAGCGTAGGATGCGTCGCGTTCATCCATCATACGTATCTTGGCTTTGGGTAAACAATGACACACGCCTGGGAGATATCACGCGCGAGCTGCGCAAGACACGGATCGAGGTTCACTTCCAAAATCAAGTTTCACGACATCGTATATAAAGTGCGGTCTCGGCCGATCGAAAATTCCTCATAAAAAAGTCGAGAGACGAAAAAACAATTAATGCCATATATACGATTGGTCGATCGGTGTCAGAAAGTCACGCGCCCGATCTGATCGCGGCTCTTTTCTATCCGAGTTTCCGTGGCGGCTTAATGTCTTGGCTCCGCCTTTAAAATAAACTCTAATTACTGCTCTAGGCGGGATCTATGATCTGTCGAATTAACGAAAGCCGCGCGAGGGCTCGTCCGATAGTCGATCTCTTTCGGGGACTACAATTATTGTTGATAGTTCGTTCGGTATTTTTCTTACCGACGACGCAATAAAACACATTGAGTTACGACCCGTACGATAAAAAGTAACGATACCAACTCGAAGAGAGATTATATATAGGCTATTCTAATACGAGAAAGAGGGTCTGTAAAGATCCACTGCTTGAGACAAAAAGAGTCGGAGAAAGGCTCGAGGGGCCCAACGCAACGATAGCTGTTTCTCACTCGCATATGCCCTATATGCATTCGTCGTTCGCGCCTTGCGGACGACTCGGCCGGAGAAGCGGGCCTAATTGTTGTTATAGAATGTTGGGCGTTATTTCGCGCGGTCGAGACAAGTTTACCAATTCGAAATATGCCTCGTGAACCTGTCGGCGCGCTCGAGAACTCGTTTGCGATCGAGAGCACTGCGCAAAAACTCGGTGCATTATAAATACGTAGTTTCGTCGTAGTTTTTTCATATTGAAACTACTTTATAGCGATTTATCGAGCTAAGAGACTCCATTGAAACTATAAGGTATATGAAATTGAGTCAAAAGAGCGGGTGCGGGTAATTAACTCGTAAAACAATGAATTTCCGGCGTAACGAATGACAAAACGAAATTTGCAGGCCTGCTAATCTGTCGAGTGGATTTTATAGCAGAAAAAACACGTGGCGACGACGCGATCGGCACTATACCTATTATAGCTGTGCTTCGCGTGCGACCAATTCCTCGATGTTAACTGATCGAGTGCATAAAAGTTTAAGAGAACGAGATTTCGGAACTCAATTGGTGTAGTTTTTGCTAGCAAAAATTATACGAGACGCATCCATGGACGGACGGACAGATGCGCGCGTGTCTTGCTTCTATTCTGGCAGGTTATGTCATCGATTTCGCGTTTTGTGCAGCTCTCGATACTTATGCGCGCCTGATCCACGATACAACGATTCGAGGCTTGGCTGGGGCCAAAATTCGGAATAGTCGCCATCCGCGTATTAATAAAGTTGGTACTTCCACTGGTATTTTCATCCCTGCCGCGGGGACACCAAATCCGCGCAGAGTATGCGCGATTCGACGCGATGTTTGTGTAAGATTCTTCAGTGCAGCATGACATATATACCACAAAAAACAGAATTTCGTCAGATACTTATATGCCAAGTACTTATATATTTTATAGACGCGGAGAGGCTTTTCGCACGGTACCCAATGTTTGCGTTTAATAATAATAAAGCGAGGGAGAGCGCGAATTATGCGCGCGTATAATAGATCAGCTATAATAACAAACTTATAATCACTGGGGCCTAATATGGTAGGGATAAGAGAGGACTGTGCCGAGGAATAGGGGAGATGTTCTGTAATACAGCACACTCATATAGTGTATATAGGGAGAGCAGCAGCACAGTCGCAGATCGAGTGGATCTCCTGACTATACATACATGTGCGAGGCGACGACTGTGGATTATATATGTGTGCGTGTATGTAAGTACGGAGTGCGGACTGCGCACGGAATCGTGAGAGAGAGAGGAGAGAGACGGAAATACCATGCCGTCGGTGCATGTAAAACTCGCTTACTATTCTCTCTTTCTCTCTCTCGCGTGTGTGCATATCCAATCCTCTCTCTTCTTCTTCTTCATCGTCTCTTTCTCTCTCCCCCCACTTCGTAGCCGCGTTCGTATCGAATCGTCGTCGCTTCGGCACAGCTCGGCTGAAATCGGCCTTACTCATACACACTATATACAACAACACAGCGCCTCAAACGCGAATTTGCGCGTTTACTTCTCTGCGTGAGCTGTATACAGTACGTCTGTGTGTGTTACTTACACATGTATACGCGAAACGTTGTAATTGTAGTAGTGGTAAGTAGGGTGACGGCACCAATGAATGAATGACCCCCAATGAATGAATGACCAAGAAAAGATTAAAATTAAAATATGAAAGGAAATTTTAACCCATGTCAAAAAATTATTTTTATTTTGTTGATGCTTGAAGTTTGAAATACTATGATCAGTTTTAGTTAAACTAGCTTCACTTTTTCACAAAAATTCATAAAGAGTCGATAGTGAATGAATATATTCATTTACTGGGATAATGCGACTTGGCATGGCGCGATACCAGTAAATGAAAAGACAATATTTTTGCCGTCCCGCCAATGTTTGAGGTTAGGTCGCAGACGATGCAGGCAGGGCGCAGTGCGTACATCGTTTAGATTTACGTTAATTATAGGCTAATTTTAACTTAATTTAAACTAGTTATTGACGATGGCTAAAACCGAAACGAACAAAGGTGCTAAACGTAAAATAAAAACTGTGAAAAAAACTGGACATAATGTCGATAAAATTCCCAACCTCTCAATGCTTTCTCATGATGTAATTCATTCATTCACTGGGTCCAGAGTATTCATTGATTGGTTCTTTACCATTCATTCACTGGGGTATCCCATTTTATTGAGTTATATCATTTATAACTTTATGAAATATTATTTTTCATGTATTTCAATTTTTTTATTTATGAAATAAGTCCTAACGAACACAAATTTGAATGCAAGCTAGGAATTAATGCAAATTTAGATTTTAGATCAATTGATTATAAGCATAATTTTGTGAATCCATTCATTCACTGGTGCCGCCACCCTATACAGTACCTACTGCTCGTGCGCGTCCGATCTCCGCCGAGTGCTGCTTCAGTCTGGCACGAGGCTTCGTACGATTCGAACGTGTCCGTGTCTTATTCGCACATTTTTATTAATACTCCGAACTTCGTTTCCTCTTTTTTTTTTAACGCGGGGGCTTCGTTCGTGCACAGTGGTAAACCCCTTCTCCCTCTAACGTATGTATAGGGGAAACACGAGTCTCCTTTTATAAATAATATACGAATCCTGAATGAACGTTCGAAAAGGTTCGTCCAACCGTTCGTGTCCGTACGCGCGTGTGTGTCGTGTCCGTAACCGCGTGAAACTGTTGTAATATAATTTTTTTACCAAAAAGTTTCGTGTAGTGTATAAGGAGTGTGCACGCGGTGAAATATATATAAAATATATCAACAATAACAACAACAACAACAGTGAAAGAGAGAGTGTATGTGTGCAACTGTGCTTTTTCGCAGTGTAAAAAGTGCAAGTGAATATTATATAGAAACTCCGCTCGCCAAGCCGACGACGACTTTCGTGTAGCAAAAGAAAGAGAGAGAAAGAGAGAGATACGAGGAGAGAGAAAGAAGCAACAAGGCGCGCATGGCGCTGGCGCTCGTTGCTCTGGCTACTGCTATTGCTGCCGCCACCACCACCACCAGTCACCACCACCACCACCACTGTGCCTCCGCCGAGTCGTTATTATTATAATCCAGCCCTGCACACGGTATTCTAGGGCCTGGGCTGGAGTCGACTGCAGCAGCAGCAGAGCTAGTAGTAGGCCTCTCTTCTTCGTGCAAAAACTGTGTCCGTGTCTCTCTCTCTGTGAGCGTCGTCGAGCCGAGTATATGAACTTTTATACTTAAAAAAAGAAATAAAGCCAAGCGAGGCCCCTCGCTCGATGCGATCATGCATAACTCATCGCCGCAGTCGTCGTCGCGTGAGAGAGTGACGACGAATCTCAGGATCGTATACAGTGTCGCGTTCTGCGTGTGAGTAGTCGCGTGTGCGTGTGTGTGTGTTGTTGTACCAGTGTACGTAATATAGCCTCGTATCGTAGGCTTTTTTCTGCCGAGGATTCTCGGTGGACACCAACGCCGGTGTGTGACATTTTGTATAGTAATTGGATACACTGCGATATAGAATAGGATAACTCGAGTGTTATCTGTCATTAAATTTGACGCACAACAATTTTCAAAGAGATACACACGCGCACGCAACGTCTGTATTGAGCCAGTAAGTCATTCTATTGTTCTTTTCTTTGTTTATCAATTGTTTCGGGCCTGTCAATTTTCAAGCGAGAATTACTGTATTCGCTCGATAAGTTGTGTAAATAATTCAACATTTTTCATTAATTAATCGCGTAAAGAATCATTCGAATTAACCAGAAGTTCGCGAACAATTGAAATAACTCTCGTACAGACAAAAAATTTCAATTTCAAATCACATTACAACGCACGCACAATCGAATGCAGTACCATAGTACAGCGGTAATTCGTTATAAAAACGAGTCTCGTTTTCTTTGATTTCGGAGTAGAGGCCAATTTGACTCGGGGCAGAGAGCAGCAGCAGCAGCAGCAGCAGCAACAACAACGCTCTACTCGCACCACTCGCGAGAACGAGAGAATGAGAAAAAGGGCTGCCCTCGGCACATCGTAATCATTGTGTATACGAAATATATATACAGTGCCGTGCGGCAAAGAGAGAGAGAGAGAGAGAGAGAGAGAGAGAGCGATTCAAGAAGGAAACGAAAAAAGAGGCGCAGCAACGCGCACACAACTGCATATAATACACAACCATTTGTAAATGTGTATATGTGTGTGTGTGCCTCGCGTTGTATATTGCCTTTATGGTATATAAAAGACGGGAGGCGCGGTCTCCCTCTCGACTGTCTCTCTCTCTCTCTCTCTCTCTTTCACTCGCGTTTTCTTACACACATACACACTGCTCACATGCTCGTGTTTATAGTAGTATTTGTAAGCTGTACAAACTACAGTCGTTTTAGGCCCCGAGTTCGGCGCGCGAGTAAAGGTCTACTATATAGCACTCGTCTGTGCGGCTCGTTTCTCGTAGACCCATGCGGTCGCGCAGCGCGCACTATATGCGGCACGAGTGTCTCGCAATTATTTTTTGTTGTCGTTGTAGCCGCAGCTTCTTGAATCGCGGCGCGCCGATGCGATTTAGTTTTCCTGATATTGGGTTCACTTTTTCAATTTTTGAATCGATATTCGTAGCGATGATTGAAATTGTCTCTCTGCTTTGTCTCTTTGCACACATATCTCTGAAATTATGGTACGATAATGAAACATAAATATCATACGATAACTGACGTAATTTTATGATTTCAGCATGTTTCGGTTATAGTTCGATAGCTCGATAACAATTAAAAAAAAAAAAAGAGCCGAAACAGCAACAACGCATATATACCGAAACATGGACGGAATAAGCAAACGTCGGACGTATCTGCGCGAGGTGAAGCCGCACTTGATATGTCCGCTCTGCCGAGGATATCTTATCGACGCGACGACCGTCGTCGAGTGCCTGCATTCCTGTAAGTGTTCGGCGAGCCATCTCTCTATCGCATCATATATATATTTTTTATTTTATTTGTTTGTCAACACAGCTATCGAATTCAGCTTGCGTATAAATATAATAAAAATTATAATCTCTCTCTGTCTGTCCAACAGTTTGCCGTAGTTGCATAATCAAGCATCTGAGGAGAGAGGCTCAATGCCCGTCGTGCAAGCAGCTCCTCAACACAGCCAAGCCAAATATCAAGTGCGTAATTATTATTATTATTATTATTACAACGCTACATATAATATATCGCCGAATATGCGGACTAATTTTTGTGTCGCTTTGATTTGGTGCGCAGAGCCGACAAAACCCTGCAGGACATAGTGTACAAACTGGTGCCGGGCCTCTACCAGCTGGAGATGAAGCGACGAAGGGAGTTCTACAGTAAACATCCCGATCACGGTAAGGGTTGTCATCGGTCTTTCGCGCGGTTATTTTGAAATACATATACCAATATGCCTTTCTCCGCGGCGACGCATATATATTTATTTACATTGAATAGATGACGTACGCGAAACTATATTCACGCGACGCTCGCAATTGGTGTGTGTATATGTGCAGCATTGAGTTCGTTGCACCCGCGAGTGGCGGAGCACACACATACAAACACAGTATATGTACACACACATACACATAAAACGAAAGCCTCCGCGCGTGCATAAATATAACTAAATTTAGATCGTCGCTCGCGTTGCATTGTAAATTATATACGAACGCGTATGTATAATGGAGTGCGCGCGAATCAAAGGCAAAAGAAGAGGCACGAGAAAAAGAAAAGAACATCGCGTACATTGGATCGCAGGGAGGATTCGTTTTTTGGTGAGAAAACGTGGGTTTCGAGTTCAAGCTATTATCGAACAAGAAGAAATGTTGTATACACAATTTTTTTTTATAATGCTTACACTTATCCATTACCTTCGTAAAAAATACATCTAACAAAAGACTCATGAAAAAAAAAAGAAAGAAACAGAAAGAAAAACCCACAAATGTTATCCTCTTCGCAGTGTCGGCCTCGCTGAAAAGCGAATCGTCGTCCACGCTTGACCGTTTACAGCACGCTAAGACAGTTACTACTGCTACCAACGATGCGAACTTGAGATACATTGCGAGGCAGTACCATCTGTTGAGCAGTGGTAAGACAACGAGATAAATAAAACGACCATTGACCATTTTTTTCTTTTTTATATATAAATAATAATAGTTGCTCGATTACCATATAGATTGATTAATTGGTTTATTTTTGTATGATATCATTTTTCGATCATCATCATCATCATTTTGCTCCACCAATATTTATATTACTGTATCTTTGATGTAGCTTTTATTGTATATTATATATTTCCATATCGATATAGCAAGTTGAAGTAACAGATCAAAATTAATCTTAACGAAATCGTGTTTAAATCCCTATTAGTGAATTGCTTATCGCATATAGAGGTTTTATTGTTGCTGCGATTGGGGAATATCAGAGTGAAATTTGATTGACGATTTTTGAACTGTTGACTTGAAATGTACATATAGTATGATACGTTATTTATTTACTTGGCTGAGTACAGCTGATGCGCTTGTATCATAGTTTTTTAGACATAAATAGACTTCGACGCCGACACAATTAATCAAGGATGAAATCGGACGATGTAAAAAAATAAATAGATAAACAGCTTTGCCAATTCGATTGACACGTGGACATGCGGAAGAAAATTGTACAAAACAGGATGAATCGATACACAGACGCTTGACACGCACTTTAGATTATATGATAAATGAAAAATTCACGCAATCACACGCATCTTAACAAATTTTAAGCTCTTTGATTAGTCAAAACGAAGCGTTGGCAGCTCGCATGTAGCTAATAATACACACACGATTTTTTATGTCACTCATCCAATTTCACCTTTCTTTTTTTTTTGGTTGTTGTAAGTATAATTTGCGCTCGGTAAAAAGCAATTACTGAACGAGCGGATCTTGCAGTTGTTTTTTTTTTATTCTTACTTATTATTATTTTTCTTAACAAACCGCAAAATTACATACACACGCATTATAAATCCGCTCAGTGGCGGACCGAACGATATTGATTCTTTCTCTCTCTTTTTGGCCAATATCTACAACAACACAGCCGACGCTACGACGCCGGAACAGCGAGGCGAGGACGTGAGCGGACGCCTGATATTCGCGCCCGAGGACGCGATAAGCCTGAGCCTCGAATATCTGCCGACCGGCGCCGATCCTCTCCTGCTGTCCTCGAGCATGGACTACAACAACGACATCGAGGGAAGCAGCGGTAAGGACTCTGCCGCGGCTGCGACTCCCGACTCGGTCAAGCAGGAGCCGTCGCAACAGCCACCGAATCAACAGCAGCTTCAGCTTCAACAACCACAACAACAACAAGGGTCCAATGATGGTGGCGGCGGTGCCGCTTCGAATTTACGACGCTACCTGCAGTGTCCGGCCCTCGTCACCATAGCCCATCTGAAAAAGTTCCTCGCGCTCAAGTACAACGTCGACGTGACGAGATTCAACATCGACATCTGCCACAGGCGGGCCTCGCTGCCCGACCACTGGACCCTCATGGACGTCGCCTACATCTTCGCCTGGAAACGAGTGAGTTGAGCTCGACGAAAAGCTTCGAGCGATCGCTTTCGATCGATACTCACCCATGTTGTTATGTCTCTCTCGTCTCTAGAACGCCCCCATACAGTTCTTCTATCGGATAACTCAGGAGGTGCTCGAGGCACCGACCAGCGACCGGCCCTCGACTCCTGGCCTGGGAGCCACCCAGCCGCTCACCGAGCAGGAGGCAGCGAAGACCCCTTGCGTCGTCGACCCCGAGCCCGAACCCGTCAAACCGATTCCCAATCTCAAGCCCCTTCCCGAGTTTCCGGTCATCAAGAGTAATAGCAGTAGTATTAGTGGTAGCGCGGAAAAACCGCAACGGTCGACCAGTCCCAACAAACGCTCCTCGTCCGGTTCGCCCAAGGATCATCGTCATAATAATCATCATCATCATCATCAACACGGCAACAGCAGCAAATCGTCTCCGCCGAACCTGATAAGAGCCGAGGAGGCCATGAAACAAGTCAAGAGTCCCATCAAGATAATGAAGAATTCCGAGGGTCGTTATCAGGTCTTGCGGACCGATACGCCGCCCGGCAAGACGAGCCCGGTGCTGAACGAAAAGATCCAATCGGCGCCACCCGCGGAGTTCAGCGTCGTAAGTATCGGGGACGGTGCCAACAGCAACGGCAGTGTGAAAATCACGCTGAAGCAGTGCACCCCCGGCAACAGCAACAATGCCGCCGCTGCTGCCGGCCCAAAGAAGCCAAAAGTCATTAACAATACCCTGCTAAAGAGTTCCGATCACGTTAATCGCAATGCGCAGGGTGAAAAGATGAAACGCAAGGTCTCGTTCGGTGCCGACGAGGCCGCCTCGTCGTCGTCGTCGTCGTCGGGCCCGACGCCGGCCAAGCAAGCCAAACGACCGGAGAACGACAAGAAGCAGTTTCTGCACAGCTTCCGACTCACGGCTAAGCACGGCCAGGAGGGGGGTAAGACGAAGACCAAAGAGGCAGTCCCGAGCGTCGAGGAGCAGGTCAGGAACATCATACGCAACGGCGAGGCCAATCGTCATCTGCGGAACAGCTTGATCGAGGACTCGCCGACAAAGAAACGCCCGGAGACGACTACGACGACGACGACGACGACGACGACGACGACGACGATCAAGCCGATCTCGACGAACATAGCCGATCGCCTGGGCGATCCCAAAGTCGTGCTCGAGAGCAAAGCCGAGAGCAGCGGCGCCGGCGGTGATGCCACCTCCGACCAGTCGCCCGTGGATGTTTACACCTTCCCGAGTTCTCCGCCCGTGCCGGTACCCGTTGGAGCCGTCAAGAGGAAGTGTCCGCCCGGTTTGCCCATATCCGAGATGCGCAAGAAGCAGTCGCAGTTGAATTTCCCGTCGATCGGCAAAAAGACGACGACGACGCCCGTCAATTCTCCGAAAGTCAGCGGACCACAGATTCAGCAGCCTACTCCGCCGAAACCGACGAGCACCCCCAAGACTTCGCCGGCTCTGTTTAGGGTTTGTATAAGCCAAACTTATTCGTGCTCCATTTTGCGAAACAAAATGTTTAATCGCTATCCTCTGTTGCAGCAGTATCAACAAAGTGTGCCCAAGAGCACGAGTAGTAATAGTGGTCAGAATTCGTCGCTCGTCACTTCACAGGTAGCCTCAGCTGTAACTACATTTTGCACCCCCACCAATGCGGGTAAAAATAGCGTAACCATTTCGACTAATACACGTAATATTCTCGACAAGTGCGGCCTCACGATACCGCCAAGTCTGAGCATTACCCTTAGTGGCCCGGAAACGCCGAGCCAAGATAGCCCGGACAATCGACCTCAGCCCCCGTCGAATCTCAATCCGAGTATCACCTTGAACGATACCTCGGTGGACACTAGGGTTCTGAAGGCGCTGAAATCCGGTCAGATTCGTCTGTCGCCCGTGACGAATTTCAAGCACTCGCAGCAGTCCTTCCCGAAGAAAGAGGACAGTCCGGTCAGAAGATCGACGCCGTCGCCAAAGAACGTCGCGGGCCCGAATTCCGCGAAAAATACACCTACGCCGAAGAACACGCCTGCGGGGAGAAGTACGCCTACGGGGAGAAGTACACCTACAGGGAGAAGTACGCCTACACCAAAAAATACACCCACGCTGAAGATTCCAACTCCAGCTTCAAAGCTCAAGACCAAATCTCCGCCGAATTGGGTGAGTAGATGATTTTGTTTTTTGGAGCAAACGTTTACACCGTTCGAGTTCTATAACTGTAATTTTTTCGTTGCAGCTACCAATTTATCCAAAGCCCAGCAAAGACATGTCTCCGAATTTTGGAAGCGGTCAGTTCGTGACGCTTCAAGGTGGACAAAAGTTTTATCGCGCTCCGCCGGGTTCATTGACGCCCGCCGCCAATCGATTTCCAGACATGCCGCCGCCACCTCGCGCTCCCGTTTACGCACCCGTGCTTTCGTCGGCTCATCAGGGCGGTTCTCGACCAGGTGCCAGCTACGCCAATATTCTTCAGAATTTTTATGCCACTAATCAAGCCCCGAAACTGGAACCATTTAACGCGCCCGGCAAGAAATTACAGGGACCGACGACGTCCAAGGAAGCGCAGAACCCTGCCGGTAAAACTCACATAGGAGCGCAATGCGTGCCTATCAAGCCTTCCAGAAGCGGTCCAGTCGCGGTGCCCAAAACGCACACCGGCGTTACTATCAAAGCTGTGACCAATAGCACGGCTTCCGCAGCCGCGACAGCTGCTCCGATTCCTGCGCTTTTATCTTCTTCGACAGCAGCGTCGTCTGGTCTTAAGATAACTAAAGTTGGCCCTCCAGCCAAGGAAAATGATAATACGGCGAGCGAAAGCAATACAAATAAAACGAAAGAGCCCGAGAACAAAGAAATAAAAGTCAAGGAATTGAATCAAGGTAATTTCATTTTATTTAATGGTAAAAAAGGTAGTATTTCAATAATATTTTTAATCATCATTTCATTTTCCGTTGAACAGCTCCCATAAAAACCGAGCAGCCATCAGACCAGTCTTTGTCAGAGCAATCTGATAAATGCTCATCATCTTCTGTAGTTAATGAACAAGACGATTCACATCGCGAATCAGCTAGTCCACGGGTAACTTCAACGGCTTCTCCGACTCCCCCGACAACAACGGAAAATAGTAAGACTGATAATAAAGTAAAACCCGAAAAACCAATTTCCGGATCTGAGGTAACTAGTAGCAACAAAAGTCCTGAGAGTCCTGACTCTAGTTCAGGAGTAGAGGAAAATGCGACTGATAATAGTAATAATGGTAAAACGATACCCAACGATAAAACAGATAAAACGGAAAAAACTAAAGATGACAAGACCGATCAGACGAAATCCGAGACGCAGTTGCCAAAAATAAAAGAAGAGGAAAAATCGGAGCAATCGGAATTAACCAAGTCCACTTCGAGTACCCTACAACAGCGATTTTTAGCGGCTTTTCCATCTGACGAGTGGTCTAACAATCCAGCAGCAGCTGAAAGATTCGGTGATTTTCTAAAGAGCCTTTCTACCATGTAAGAACAATCCAAGTGAATTTTCGTAAGTGTCTTGGAAAACAGAGTTTCATGAAAACCACGTGGAGTGCAATTTCACCTCATTAAACAGTTGATCTTGTCAGTTAGAGGATTCATTTTTAATCATCGTGTATTTGGTGTTGGATTTTTGGATAATTTTTCATAATTCCAATTGGATGGCATTTAGTTGGCAATTGAAAGTGACATACAGTTTTAATTGGTTATTTCATAAAGTAACCTTAGCCATGATAATTTATAGTGAAAAATCTACTATTAGGGTAGTCATTTTTCACAGTCTTAGAAATTTTCTTTTAAATTTACTTGTTAAATTTCAAAAGATTATTGTTTCGTAAGCATGAGTTGACGCAAATTTTATTGGTTTTGGAAAACAGTTCATGCTTATCAACTTAGGATTATAACCGGATTATCGACTGATACCGAATTATTCGTTTTGTAATTATTCATTTATGCACTGCTGCCAAAATAATACGTACAGTAAACTGTGCATTTTACCGAGTTTGATATCACATGTCGAATTCACAATGAAGTAGTTATTTGAACTTCATACTAGATACCACAATCAATATACTTTAAACGAAGAATACAATCTCGGTACAGTTTTGTAATATTAAATTGTGATAAGACGCGCTCTGTACTCTTAAAGAAGAAACAACATTTTTATATACTTGGACAAGCCATAATATAAGAATAGGTATAATGAATGTGCTCACCTTTACTTTTGTAAACTTATGCGTATGCATCATCATTCACTTGTTGTGTCATTTACAACACGGCAGTGAAAAATTGAAAAAAGCACGAATTCCTAATAATTATAATGCTAAAAAAAAAAGGTTACTATAATAATACCCACCATAATGAATTCAGTTCAAATGTTTTAAAGATTTCATTACTAAGACCTTTGCTCATTTACAAATACTTTAGACAAGACTATTAAAAGCTTGATTAAAGAAAAAATTGAATTACTTGAGAAATAAACAATTTTTCGTTACTTGCTCAATATGAATTCAAAGATTATATGTTCATAGACTTTCAAATGTTCATTGTTTTTTAAACCAAGTTTCATTACTTAAAAACATAAGATAATTTCCAATAAAGCAAATTGAAGGAGAGCCAATATTTGTTCCTTTACTTTTAGTCAACCATACTGTAGTTTTGGTTACTCATGCAATTTGGCATTGTTGAATATTTGATTTTAAACCTTTGAGTTTTTGTTATGATTTATAAGCGATATGCTCGTACTCAAGAAGAGTGAAATGATTTTGATTGACATATTGGCAATGTAAGAATTATCTTGTAATGAAATATCCTTACTTTTGAAAAATCTGTATAAGATTTGCATGGATGAGTACATTATTAAGGAAACATTTGAATAATAAACATTACAAAGAAGTAATGTAAAAATTATTGAAATATTTCTTGACTTTCGTGTACTCCTGTTCATGTAAGCAAAGTTTTTATTTTTTTTTTATTCAAGAGTAATTTTTATGTCACCATTAATAAATCCAAATTGAAATTATAAATTTTTCAGCATCTGATGTGAATGAAATTTCTAATTTTAATTGGAGGACCATTGATTGCATTAAATAACGTAGATGTCAGTTTTGGTTTTAAGTGTAAAATCACACGTAAGTTGAACATTTGTTTTATTTTTTAGTGACGTAACTATAATCATTTTTCACTTACTTATTAATTTGTGTAATTACCTTTCAAAATATCTGAGTACGAACATGCAAGTTTATACAAACGTAGATTTAAGTTTTAAAGAATGAAAATTTGATAACTATGAAGTTAGTTATATGAGTATAAGTTATAGTGCGAATTATCTTGTGTGCATATTGCTTACTTATCCACGATTGGAAAAAAGAGAACGTGGAACATTTGTAAGCTGCGGGGGATGCAAGATAATTACTGTACAATATAATTTAGTGAGTAAAATTTTATGGAAAAGATAATGTTTCGTTTGTAACGTTTATCGCGCATGAATAAACATCATCTTTACGATATATTTTACTGTAAACTTGTGTTTCCCCGCACTCCTATCATTGTATATCAGTCATAGCAAGTTCATCGCGAGCATGGAGATAATGATGATGTTAGACTTCGTTAAGTAAAATACTTATATTATATTCATTGAATATATACACACGCCATGTCCTCGCCTCGGACGAGCGAACGTGTAACATTTTTGTTAATTCTCTCTTTGTTTCAAAGACTGCATTTTGTCTATTCCAACGGAGCTAGAAGTTAGATTGAAGTACCGTCTATATGTGCTCGAGAGTAGCAAAATCCCCCGAAACATGTACTGCAACAAATGATACGATACACAATCATCGAGATCGACTTTGATGATATCGACGCGTACAGATTTTCTATACTCGCGGCACACCACTCGATTTGACCGGCTCCATGATACGACCAGAAGAAACAGAGCTCGCGGAATGGAACAAACATAATTATTTTTATGTTATATTAACATGTACATAATAATAGTAGAAATTCTCCACGTTAGACAGAGAGAAGTTCTTTTTTTTTGGTATCGACTTATTGTTCGCAGAAAAAGTTTGGCTTTAGATACTAGTGCAATGTAGCGCGCTTCGTATTATCGATCATGTATACGTATTTTATACATATTTTTTATAAAATTAAAAAATTGAATAAAGTTAAATAACATTCGTAAAATTCTTTGTTTATTGTCATTCACTTTCATTCATAACTAATAAATATTATTCATATTCTTCAGGCACTCGAATGAATTATCTCGAATCCACGAAGACTCAATTTTTCGCTATGAAAAACGAATTCAAGAACTAATAAAAAAAGAAGAAAGAAGACTTCGTTTTCAGCTCACGTTATTGAGATTCTGAAAATCGCTAAAATATCGTCAAGTAATCATGGAAAAATAATGAAATAGATTCATTGGAACGCGCGCAAAAGTATCGAGAGAAAAAGAGACGCGCGGATGCGCATGCGTTTGCTTTTCACAGTCCCCACTGCGATTCCACCGCGACGGCCCCCCGAACTAGTCCGAAAAAAAGCACACGGTGGGGTCAAGGCCCTCGTTGAATAGTGGATATAAAATACACGTTGTAGGCACAAAGAGCTTGGCTCGTTATCGAGGTGATTTAGTACCTTTTACAAAAAAAAAAAAGAAACTATTAGAAATCTTAAACGTCGTTTGATCGACGTTTTTTTTTCTTCATTGATTGATCGATATCGATGTCCTCGTGTTGATTTATTCATGCTCTTGGCGTTAAGAAAAAAAAAATAAGGATCAATAAATGCCGATTAAGTTGACCCGGAAAAATGTGTCATCTTACATGAAATTAATCAGCACTTTGCCTAAATCAAAATTACTCTTTTTGCAGTCGCTTCCTTTTTATCAATGCTGAAATCGAGTTCTCGTTCATCTCTCAACATATTCATCGTTTTTTTAGTTTCGGAAAAATGATTCATTTGCAGAGAGCCGAAGAAAAAACCCGCAGGCTCGATTTTTACTTAAAACTTCAACTCATACACTTATGTACAGCGAACTTCTCAACGATTCTCGGAACTGCTTTATATAATTCCGCGCTTTTAATTAGCTTATACTAATTTCATAATGCGACGAAAAGCCTATATACATAATAGCGCGCGAGCGAGCGATCGGTAAACCATGCGGCGTCGCGGACGCTATTGTTTGCGAGCGCGCGTGAATAAACACAAAGGTGTATACCTTCTCCCTCTCGGCAGGAAACATGATGCAAACGCGTTACGAGTAACGAATCGTTCTCAGAGGTCTTTTCTTTTTTTTTCGTTAATCGTGAGATGCGTCTCCTCCGCTCGCACATTGTGTGTTTTATACGACTTTTACTTAACAACGACCGAAAATACTAAATATCGTGATATTCGAAGGTTTTGCATGAAAAATCGGTAGTCGGTCAGAGAGATATGTAATTGGTTCAATCGCTCCGATTAGCTATACACACACATCGGAATTCACATCGATTGACTTATTACACTTATTATAGAAGCTGCGTGGTGGCATAATATAATGGCTCTCGGCGATCGTTATCGGCTCTCTCTCTCTAATCGCTATATAACGTGCACATATATACGTACTAATGTGCTCGACACCTCTTTCACGTTGTAACATATTATATCGTACCAATGGCATTGACCATAATAGCTATATAATACGCTGCATCCGTAATGAGCGGCGCAGAGCGAGATATAGCGTATCGTATACTCGAGACTCCGTACTATTATAAGGCGTAGAGCGGCGATAGATTAGTTATATGTGTACAGGAGAAAATTATGATAATTTTCGGTCATGAACGCTCGATTCGATGATAAATCGCGGTGACGATTGCTACACGATAAGTTGATACGACGTATGTATTATGTACTCATCGGTGAATACATCGGTCACATCGTAATTTGTATATGATGATACGGTCTGTTTCGAGCTTCTTTTGTATATAGACCTCCGAGTATACCACCCTCTCGTTTGGATCTGAGCTGAAAAGTCCATCGGGTTTTCCTTGAAAAAAATCTTGCCAATATATGTGCCAATGATTCGCTATTTTGAAGTAAAAACACAAGTATAATGACGAAGTTATTCATTTGTACAAAATGTAATTGAGTTATTTCGTAACGTCAAGATTAATATTTAAATTCACCACTAAACGGTAATGCCCGCCAAGAGCAAGATAAAAAAAAGATCCAAAGGCAAGAGTGTATGTGTCGAACATTAATTTTCCCTAGCTGGTTTTTCATTTTCTATGAATACTTCTCGATGATCCGATTCGCAACTACAATTAGCCACTAAAAAATTGAAGTAAATGATTCAAGTACCGAATCGAAATGGAGTACATGAATTTTGTTTAATGCACCGAATACGATCATCCATTCGGAAGGAGCACCCACTAAATGTATAATTGCGAAACACTTGTTGAGTTTAATTCTGATGTGTGTACGCTAGTAGTAGGAAATGGCGCCGCTAGATGGCTAGCATAGTCCAAATTTATCACTCCCACAAACGAAAGAGCCAAGTACGTTGCATAATAACAACTAAATGTTCCAAAACCGGTAAGACCTATCCCGTTACCTACTCTTGAAAATATCGAAAGAAAGTAATATCAGACATTTACGTTATATTACGACAAACTGTCATACTAATTTCTATGCAACAAAAAAACAGTACAATAAACAATATAAGCACGAATTGAATGTGCGTAAATGCCGTGTATAAATAGCGCCGACGTATACATCGTCAGCGGCAGCAGCAGCAGCAGCTCTGCCTTGATGTGCATGAAAGACACAGCAGAGCAGCACGAGAGATCCACGCATTTATATACAACAGAGACAGCCACCTACGTTCTCTTTCCTTCTGTCTCTTTTTTTCTTGGTTCTATAGTATAAGTAGTAGTAGCTGCCGAGCCGAGTGTCTGCGCACGTATATTTGTGTGCGTGTGTGTGTGAGTATATACAGGCCTCCGGGACAACTGTGCGCGCTCCCCGCGGACTTCTCAGTGCCTGTATATATATGTACACATTACATTACATATCAAAGTATATATATAGATTCTTTGAGCAACCACTTGTGAGCGTAGAATCTTCTGGTGCTCTTTCGTGTGTGCGCCGTTTTTTTTTTTTTTTAATACAATCGTATCTCTTGTACCGTACTTATACCATTACGTGCAGCTCGTTGTATAGGCTTTCTAGTGATTAGTATAATACCGCGCCTGGCATCATGCTACAACGGCTCGACGCCGCTGCCGCCGCCACAGTTGATGATAAGTAGCAGCCCTAGCTATAGCATCGTGTCGTGTGCAGCTCAACATCGCCTGCACATAGGCATAGATCGTACAGTAGGTAGTATATACCTGCAGAGAATGTGTTATAATACTTGTGATCTCAGCAGCAGTAGCAGCGGTGCAGCAGCAATGTGTCAGAAGTGTCGGTGCTCCCGAGCGTCTACGTGACGACGACGACGATGCTCCTCTTGCCGTCGAACGAGAATAATAATAATAATAATAATAATAGTAAACCTTGTGCCGGATAAGAGCTAACTGCCACCCGCCGTCGGCGCGCGATGATAGTGCGCTGAGAGCTGTGCGATATACACATTTTTTTGATTAGTGATTACAAAAGAAATTTAACTTCCTTTTGTATTTGTATGAGTGCTATATAGATATCGGTGTTGGTGACACTTCGAGTGTGTCTCTGTGCCGTGTGCTGTGCGTATACGTGTGCGTGTGTTTGTGTCCAAGTGTCATCTTACACGCCCGGGCTCGTCGTCGTCGTCGTCGTCGTCGTACGCCGTCGTGCTGTAGGCCTGTCGACATCGCCTTGACTCATCTCTTCGTTATTTTGCATCGCCTCGTTACTATAGAGAGCCTCGCGGCACTCTGTGTAATACCAACACACGTACATATACGCTACTTACTCACACACACGCGCGCGTACCCAACGATTATTGCAAGACTGTGATAGTGCCTCCTCGACGAGCTAGTTTTTTAGCTACCGCTGCCGCTGTTGCTCCGTTCCTGGGCGTGTGCCGTGCTGTGCCGTGTGTGTGTTCGTGTGTGCATTCATGCCCTTATCTAGGGCCATCCGAATCCGGACGGATCGCGAAGAGGCAGCAGCAGCATGTTGAGATTCCTGTCGAGGCGAAGTCGGCCTCGCGGCGCCGCCGGCCCGACCGCGACGTCGACCCAGATCAAGAATCAACGATTGCCCAGCAACAAGAATGTCGTTCAGTGTCGTGTCATACTTCTCGACGGGGCCGACTTGCCTATTGAATTATCGGTAAACGCGCCTGCTTATCTCTCTCGACTCGTTACATCGTAATACTCTTTTAATTGCACACCCACGTCAATCTGTACTCTTTTGTTTTTTTTTTTTTTTCATTTCTGCAGAAAAAAGCACTTGCCAGCGACTTGTACGAGCAAGTATTTTACAGCTTGGACCTCATTGAAAAGGACTATTTTGGTTTGCAATTCACCGATAGCAACAATGTACAGCATTGGTTGGATCCCACCAAGCCTATCAAGAAGCAAGTCAAAAGTAAGTGATGATCCTGTTTTAATGAAGGATTATTTTCACTATCTTCATTACAATATTACATTTTTGTAGTTGGTCCGCCTTATACTCTAAGACTGAAGGTCAAGTTTTATTCATCCGAGCCAAACCATTTGAGGGAAGAATTGACTCGATATCAATTTTTCCTGCAATTAAAGCAAGATGTTTTGGAAGGAAAACTTCCCTGTGATCACCAAGCTACGGTTCAATTGGCCGCCTTAACTTTACAATGTATGTTATTTACTGTGTTTTTGACATTAAATAGTTACATGAAAACTCTAATATTATCATTGCTTATTTTTAAAGCTGAACTAGGAGATTATGATCCCGCTGTTCATACAGCAGCAACTGTGTCAGAATTTCGTTTTGTGCCTAATCAAACAGAACAATTGGAGCTTGAAATATTAGAAGAGTACAAGAAATATTCAGGACTTAGTCCAGCTCAAGCAGAATCTACTTATTTAAGCAAAGCTAAATGGCTTGACATGTATGGTGTTGATATGCATACTGTCATGGGCAAAGATCATAGTGAATATTCATTGGGGTTGACTCCAACAGGTATTTTAGTTTTTGAAGGAAACACAAAAATTGGTTTATTCTTATGGCCTAGAATTGGACGGCTAGATTTTAAAAAGAAAAAACTAACTCTAGTCGTGGTTGAACAAGATGATGATGGTATACGCGAACAGGAACACACTTTTGTATTCCGATTGGCGAATGAGAAAGCCTGTAAACATTTATGGAAATGTGCTGTTGAACATCATACCTTTTTCCGACTCCAGTCTCCAGTGAAAGGGGCTAGTGGTCGTCAAAATTTATTCCGTATGGGTTCTCGATTCCGTTACAGTGGTAAAACTGAATTTCAGACTACATTACTTAATCGAGCTCGACGTACAGTACAGTTTGAAAGAAGGCCTAGTCAACGATATGCTCGTAGACAGAGTCATGTTTTACGAGATAGACAGCGTCAATTTCAAGATCCAACTCCCCAAGCATCTTCAGGTAATGAAATAACAATTTTTTTCCCTACTTTTTATCAGTTATACATTATTAACTTATTTTAATACTAGAAGATGAACCTATGGAGAGACAGCCCAGTAAATGCAGCACAAAGTCTTCATCTTCCGCAAGCAGTATCCAAGAAGCAACAGCTCCATTGGTAGACACACTTATTAAATCTCTTTCAAAAGAGCAGCAACCTCCAGAACCAAGAAACACAACTTTATCAAGCACTTCAAAAGAAACTGAACCAGTCAAAACAAGTTTGACAATAGAAAATTGTAGTACATCAGTTGCTACTCTAATACCCAATAATCAAGTGGTTGGGGCTTCAGCTCTTCCTCTTCGTACCCCAATACCACCAGAGTCTCTCAAATGCAATATCTTGAAAGCCAAAGTTCTTGAACAAACTGGTAAAAATTCGAATCTTGTTTCTATATCTACGATAGATAATTTACCTATTGTCAACATCGATAAAGCTCAAATAGGTACTGAAGCAGCAACGATTGTATCAGTGGTACGTATGAATGATTATTTTGTATTATTGTTGTCATAGCTTACAATCTGTACTGTAAAATTTGAGTGATCACGTGCACAAGGATTTGTGCTTTGTTGTATCAATGTTTTTATGTTGCTAGCTTTTCATTATTGTGGCTGCATATCTTGAGATCTTGAATTGCAAAATTTTATAAATTAAATTTGTGTTAATTCTTGATAAAACATGAACTTTTACATTAAATTTATCATATACTGAGTTTGCATAAAAATTAATTCATAATCATAAAATCATCTCAAGAGTAATTTGCCAGCCTTTTCATATGTTTTGCTTGTTTTTGCTTCTATTTGGCATATGTTCTGTAGGGTGGTGATAAACTCACATTATCAGTCAGTGGTACATCAGCAAGTCAGTCGCCATCCATTGAAGATTCAGTCACCGTCACACATTTTTCACTCGACAGTTGGGGAAAGATTCAACAAAAAACCACCCCATTCTCGCCTAAAGTTGCTAATCGTCCACAAAATCCATTTAATCCATTTACCAGCGAGGAACCAACATCTGCAACCATCTCTGCAACTTCAAATAGTGGCAGTGTCAATAATAACATTTCCCTAGACGAGATTATCTTTGCCGAAGATACTACCAACGCAATCACGCCAGTAATTAGCGAAGAGAAAAAAGTTAACACGAATCCGTTTATTGATTCAAATCCATTCTTAAGTTTGGGACTGAATCCATTCGCAACTGACATGAGTCCGACGCCTCCCACGTCGATAAGTCCCGTACCCAAGATTGCGACACCTACGTCCGTCAGTCCGGAACCAAAAGTATTAACAAATGCGCTGGAAAATCATGTCCAAACGGAAAAGAAAAATGAAGACGAAAAAGTTGAAGACGTATTAGATAAGATTGATGGTTCTGCACCACTTAACGCCACTAGAGTAGTCAAGACGGAAGAAATTCAAACAACCACTACTACTCTCGTGCATAAGGTAAGTTAAACGATCGCTCATGCTTTTTATTTAAGTTTGTCCGCATTATCAATGCTTTGAGCAATCAAATGTCAGATTTTATGTTTAATGTCACTGTGAAGTCGTTTTTTTGTTGTTCATTCAATTATAGGCACATACAAAATTGCTCGGTGTTCATCACATTATCTTAAGCTCATTCATTATTGCTTTGATAGTATTTTTTTTTTATAAGTACACATGGTAAAAATGATCTGTTTCATAAATGTCAAAATATATTTGTATGAATAGATAATTTTTTCATACTTGAACAGAAATTCTTTTTTATTCCGAATCGGAACATACTCATGAAAATGATTTTAAATCTGAATCAGTATTTAATTAAATGTATGAAAGTAATTAAATATTAAAGATTTGCATCAATTCGTTTTAATATTATGATTTCATTTTCTTCAACAGGATGAAGAGCCCACAGCGTCGGATATAAGCCCATGGTTAGTGACAGAGCCAGCTCAAATGTCAAGTAGCAGTCAACCTTCAACGAAGCACACTGTTATAACTCGCAAGACTGTAATTACGACTCAGTTATAAAAACTGAAAACTGTTTAAAAACTACTTATAACTAATATCTTGAAAAAGAAGACTCAAATGCATTTTAGAAATGAATTGAGAGCGAGATTGAGAGAAAGAAAGTGAACGAGAAAGAGAGTTCCGAAAAATGTTGTAAACATGAAACGCATGAATAATATTAATAATCATTTAATAATTTCTCTTCTCTTTCTTTTTTTCTAAATTGGTGCTGCAACCATTTGCTTTTTTCCTTATTTTAAATTTTAAACATTAAATTACACTTGGTAATCCGTTTAAATAGGGATGAAAACCTTTGCAATCGTGTACACACGTAGATGTGTTAATGTAGATAAATGAAAAATGTATGTTTGAAGTGAGCGATGTGAATGTATTTTTATATATAATTTTATCTAAAAAAGAAAAACGATGAAGAAAAAATGTATTTATTAGAATCCAGCTTTCGATGGACATAAATTGTGCCATCTCTTTTACGTAAGACAGTTTTTTCTATTTTACAAATAAATCAAATAGATATCGAATTTTTTCATGTGAAAAATAAAAAGTGAACCAGCAGTAATTTTTATAACTGTTCTACAAAAATGTCATGCTAGATATACAAATTTTTATATAATCAATTTGTATTTATAAATTTCGTCCAGATGATAAAAAGTGCCTTTTAGGAAAATAATAATTTTCAAATGACTTTCAAATGTTAATGCAGTTGAAGCTATGTTGGACTATTTTTATACTGTCTGATTTTATAAAATAACTTTGAAAAAAACGAATTTTACCAGTGCGATAAAATCTATAAAAATAGCTTATGATTTGTTACTATTAATATAATGAACCAATATAATTGGTTATGCATTTTATCTCTAATATAGTTTCATGTGCATAAGTAAAATAAAATTACTTATTGTAAAATGTGCCTACATATTTTGTTCTGCAGTATTATGTTAAAGAAGAAAATATTTTTAAACGAATTGTACTTAACTAAGGATGATCCTTTGAAAATATGAAGATACTAATACTAAAGCTTAAAATACATTCCAAAATATGAAGCCTCTATTTTATCGAAGACTTGAAATGTACTTACATGTAACTTTGATTTGCTCAGCTGAAAATTAAACCAAATTAATTTTTTCTCGTCAGTTCCATGGACTGTCGTGCAATTTTCTTGAATTTTTGTAACGTACAGTCTCTGATTGATAATTAAGTTTTATGAATTGTTTCTTTTACATGCGCATAAAGACTAAGAAAATAATTTTTATTGTACTTAATTATGTAAGCATATTCCCTCAAGAAAAATATTTATATAGGAATGGAGACATGGTACTTGTAGATATTTACTACTTTATACTTAAAACGAATGATTTTCTTTAAATTTTATAAGACTTATAAATATGTTTCTACAACTGTAAGCAGTAAGTTTTGAAAAGCTGTAATAGTATTAGTTAGTCGCTTATACTTTTTTATATATATTTTAATTACACACTGAATAAATTTTACGTCTGCCGAAAAATATTAGAAATGTTTATAATGATTAACAATGCCGATGTTCAGTTATCCACGTGTTCTCTACGAATTCTAAATAAATCTGAACAATAATTTTACGAAAAAATCATTTTTTGTTCTAAAACTCTTCCCTTTCCGTACCCTTATATCGTTGCTTCAGTAATGTATGCATTTTTGATATTATATTTATCATCGTATTGAAACGATTCTTTACTTTCTCCATGGATTTATAACAATGATTGGTGAACGCTGTAAACACCTTTCGCTGAAATCGTTTGAGTTTTTTTTCTGCATCTTCTGAATGTGGTTAGTCGATTTAATCCATTCTATGCTAGTCACATTTAAAGTAATAACTATTTTATTTTTTAGGTAGACCTTTAATAAATGTAATAATGAATTTATGCATATATTAAACGGAAAATGATTCCATCTTTTAAATATATTATTTTCGGTATTTAGTGTAACTGATTAAATCATTGACTATAAATATGCTTAAGTCGTCATAACTTGTATTCTCTTGCAGTCAACGAGCTGACCTCATTTCCGTAACAAATTTAAATTTGAAAGATAATTTAAGTATCGTTAGTGGCACCCACCCCCTGCATAACCGATTCAAGTTAATGGATAATTTTTTCCCTCTGGGCAATGAAATAATACACATATTCCATTCTATTAATTACAATGACAATTATACTTTATTTTCATACCGAGCGTCAAGTGTGCAAGTGACGACGCAATATTAATAATACATTATGATTATTATAATAGTAATAGTAATAATAAGTAATAATAAGTAATAATTATAGTAATAATAATAGTAATAACAATGAAACATCCTTGTATCCATCGTACATTTTACTCACATAATCAAGTAATATTAAAATTATCGTATAGCAGTATTACAGTATATTATGTATCATAATTTAAATGGATGCAGTCGTCGTCGAGCGACGGACCTGTCGGTTGGCCGTTAACGTTTTAACGAAAAAATAATAATAATAAACGAGCGATAAACATATTACAGACAGATTTGAGCGTGGTTACAGCGGCGCGTGCGGATATAGAGATAGACGTAGAAAGAGAGAGAGAGAGAGAATGAGAGAACAAAAAATAAATAAACGAAAGATCGAGAAAGACCGACGGACTGATGAAAAACCGTAATTTGAGTAAGGCGATCGGCTAACTCATGTATATGCAGCGAGATATCGACTAAAGTTCGATGATTATAAAGTAAAGTAAATAAATTAAACGAAAACGATCAGAGAGGTTGAGGCGAAGTGGCGGAGGTAAGGTAATTGAACAATGACGTATGCCGATGAAGTGTAATAATAATAATAATAATTTAATAGTATTGATAATATGCGTGTGTTCGTCTGAAATTTCTTTCTTTTTTTTTCTTCTCTCGTATACAGTATGTAAACATTATCATAATTTTCATTAACGTGCGTAGAGGTAGTTTGCAGCGGTTGCGAGCATTTTTTTTTATTCCTCCTCCTCCTCTTCCTCCTCTTCTTCTTCCTCCTCCTCTTCCTCCTCTTCCTCCTCCTCCTCCTCTTCCTCTTCCTCCTCCTCCTCTTCCTCCTCTTCCTCCTCCTTTTCGCTGGCCTCCTTCTCGCTACCCTCCTCCTCTTCCTCGTCGTCGAAGTTCGGCTCCTCCAGGTCGTCGTCGACCACGTCGTCGGCCTTGACGTCCTCCTCGCCCTCGGGCGACTCCGGGTCGTCCTTCTTTTTGCCGGGTCTCTCGCCGAACCATTTGGGCAGCTTCGCTGTAATCGCAGAAAAAGGGAGAGAGAGAGAACCGAAAAAAGATTAGTTTGTTGTTGTCTCGTCGATGTATATATAATAAGGAATCCAATTTTCAATCACGTAAAGAAAAGCCAAGTGAACGTTTTTAGAAACACCGAGGGGATGTGTGGGATACGTACCCTTTTGTCGTCCCAAGAACTGGTCTTTCTGCTGAGACCACGCCTTCTCCATGGCCTCCTTAATCTGGTCTGTCAGGCCCTGTAACATTCAAGGGAAGAACGAAAACCATGGCATGCTAGGACAACGATGTTTTACCGTATACGATATCGTGTTTTTGCTTTTTTTTCCTCTCTCGCTCGTTCGTCGACTCGAAGTAATCGCTTCTATTTCAATTATTTTCTTTTCTTTTCGTTAATAATACAATTTATCGATGGTTAATACGTTTGTTTTTTACAACAACAGAGATGGTTGACGTGTTTATTTGTCCATTCAAGTCAAGGGGGGTTAAACTACGGAGCATTCGATAGTGATAAAAATATCCAAGGAAGTATATAACATTTATAAAACGATTTTTAAAAACAAATTTGGATGAAAACATGTGATGAACAAGGACGAAATTCCAAACAAATCTCAAAATTCGGGGGGGCGGGGAGACATTAAACATTTTTTTGTCATACACGTAGTGTGAACAATAAGGGGGGGCTCGTCGAGACTCACTTTTAGTGCGTTTCATGAACAGTTCCATTCTCTGTTTCCAAAGTTTTTCTGTGAGTTCTGCGTATAGCGTATTATAACCCTGCGATTCAAATCAAAATAACCCGTTTTACTCGTAGTTTTTTTTTTCTTCAAAATTACTTTAAAAAAAATTGATGTGTCATTTCGGACCGATCGGAAAACCTTTTTTCACACGCGTAAACGCGATTTCCACGATGTTCGAGAGTTCACCATACGAGAAAAATACTTACACCCTCGAAGAGTTTCTTTTTGTCGTCGTACGACCTGGTATCCACGCGCCGTTCGTACTTTGATGCGACTTGGATTTTTGGCTGGAATCAAGTGTCAAGAAGTCAGTCTTCGAGAAACATATGGTATTGAATAAAAAAAAAAAAAAAAATACTCACGGGGTATTTGCCTGTCAGAGCTTCCGGGTCCAAGCCCTTTTTCAGAGCTTTGTGTCTCAGCTGTTGCTTCTGTCTCTCCTTCAGTTCTTTCAACTGTAAACGCAATATAATAAACGTTAATTTCCACGAAAATTTTTGTGCACGATACGAAAATAAATCAACTTACGTCGTAGTCCTGTCGCTTCTGGCGCTCCTCGAGATCGTACTTCTCCGTCTCGAGCTTGACGATCTGGTCCCACAAGTCTTGGGCTTTGAAGCGCAGCTTGTCGATGCTCATGTTCTCGATGTCCAGCGGCTTGATGCGAATGCTCAGCGAGATCTTTTTCTCCTCCTCGAGCTGCTCCTTCGTCTTGTTGCGCTCGAGCTGCGCCGACGACATCTGGCCCTATACATTGGGAGGAAGACACGGTGTCAGAATCTAAATTTTCACCACGGAAGTAAAAAAAAAAAAAAAAACAAAAAACTCACGGCCAGATCCTTCTTCTGAATGGTGAAGTTGGGTCCCTTTTTGTTGGCCTGCTCCTTCATGGCCTGCATCATGGCTTGGCGCTTCTTCTCGGATTCCTCGAGGCGCCGTCTCTTCTCCTCGATGTCGCGCTGTTTCTTCTCCTCTGCGAGTCGAAGAAAAATCATCGGTTGGTTGTCCATGCAAAGGAGTAGAGAGAAAAGGTATAAGCCCCGTATAAGTTACCGATTTCACGTTGGCGACGCTCCTCCTCCTCCTTCTTCTTTTGGGCCATTCGCTTCTCCTCCTCGGCTCGCGACACCTTGCGCCTGGCCTGCTTCTCCTTCAGGGTCTTCAGCTCGTCCTCCTCCTTTGCCCTCTGTTTTCGCCATTCTGCGATGTATTCTTTCAGTTGCTCGTCTAGATCGCCTCTCTTCTGCTCTTGTCTCTATGCGATTAAAAAAGTACGTTTTAACGATGGTCGAAAACGAACAACCAAGACTACGACGAACGTAAAAAACTCACCCTCATAAACTCGGCTCCCTCGCCGGATTCCCTATTGGTCGTTGGATAAGAAGAAGCGGGCAAAAATAAGCGAAGGTCAATGTCAGTTTACGGATTTTTTTCTTTTTTTTTTCTCTCTTAGCGTTGATCATTGGCCTCGATTAAATATTAATGAATATTAAATAATAACGATAGCAGCGAAGCTAACGCATGCTGTGTTATATTTTGCATTATTCGCCACTGCAGTTATTGTATCGAGCTCGGGCTATATAGAGCGCCTTTTCGGTAGAATTATAATAGACTCGCTCTCGGGTTTATATAAATAGCTCCGAATTCGATGAAGCACAGTTAAGTTCGTCGTTTGCGAACATTGTTGAGCCGTTGTGCGGTTCGACTTCTTAAAAATGACATTTATTGCGTCGGATCACGAGGAAAAAGTTTGATGGATGGATCATAATTTGGGAAACTTATAGGTGGATGGGATAGAATACGCAGCATGAATTATATCAAGTTCCCGTGCAATAAAGCCTCAAACTTAGCTGCCTTGAGTATACTTCGGCAACAATTAAAACGTAACTCGAAAAAAATTCGGTGCAGAGCGAGTAAGAAGCGGGTGTGCTGTCGTTGACTGTGTCTTTATGATTTTTTTTTATTTAATATAATAATCTACGATCTTCTCCATTTCGTATTTAATCATTGTATAATATAATACGAGCTTGTGAAAAGAAAAGGTCGATGAAAATCAGACGTGAATATATCTGTATGTGTGTTATTATTTGTCACAGAATGTGTTGGGCTTTCCAGAATTATTTATGATATTGACTTTTAATTATTTCGTTGGATTATATGTCGGGCAGTGATAAACAGACACAAAAAAACAAATAAGAACAAGTAATTATAACATCGGTCGGGATTTTATGGTTTTGTCAGCAGCTTCTTTGGCAACCCTTTATTAGGTTAACGACACGTTCAACGAAAAGTGAACAAAAAAAAAAAGGAACGAAAATTAACAACAACACAAAGTGCAACATTTTAGGTTTTTGTTTTTTGTTTTTGGCTTTGCTTTGCTTTTATATATGTACACATAATTCGTAGATTTTCAACTTACTTTTGAGACGCCCTACCCCTACAAAAAAAGAAATCACAAGTGCGTTAATAAACTTTCGTATGGAGGGAGCACAGAGGTGTTCGAAAATTAAAAAAATTTTGGTTTTAACTGTAGAGAAGCCATTGTTGCATGCTTTTATACAAATGTAAATGTTTTTTTTTTTGGTCATTATTTTTTTGAGTGATACGGACATGTGCAACAGATGCCACATACATTTATTCATACATATAAATATGCAACAACAGTTATAATGCATTTTTGGTTTTAACGCATGCAGGTTTTGATTATTATTATGGGATTATTTTTTTTGTTTTTATAGCGCTCGTAACATTTGGTCGACTTTTTTTTCATTATTTCATCTATATCCGAAACAGATTTTTGAAAAATTCAACGAGAGCCCGCGTCGCAAACGAAACGTTTAATTGGAAAAAAACAAGCCAATAAACAATGACAAAAATACACCATCGTCGTCGTCGTCGTCATCATCATTATCATCATCTTGTGTCAGACGTTAGCTGCATCTGCTCCATGTGTGTATAACAACGCGAGCTTTTGACCGATACACAACTACTACTACTACTACTACGATGGCAGCTCGAGTCTGGAATTTTCAACGCGGTCACGCGGTGGGCCAATTATAGATATAATATAAAACGGCACCTACGGCTACACAAACTTCTATGCACTTCTTAATGTACCCATTGGCTCGCGAGAGAGCCGCGGCGAGAAAATATAAATATGCGTGTGCAACGCACGAGGCGGGCTTAACGAGCGCGTTGCATTCGCAAAAATGGGTTAAGCTGCCTCCGCCTCGTCTCTCTAGCTAGATGGAAAAATCGAGTCGAGTGAAAAATAACCCCCCCGAGTGTGTGTGTGTGTGTGTGTGTGTGTGTGTGTGTGTGTGTGTGTGTGTATATGTGTATGTTTTGCAAAATTTGCGCTCGTTACAAAATCATTGCCGCGTGTGCGGGGCTGCTCGGTAATACCGTTGCGCGATAAAATTGCGGCACGCGTAATATTAAGCTGCCCGCGAGGCTCTTACAACACACTTCTTGGCATCCGCGGCTGCAAGCTTCGACCAAATAAGGGAGAGAGTATATCGTATGTGTTGCGCTGCGGTGCTGCTTTTTTGAAAAATAAGAAAAAATTGGATTTCTCGACGTTGATAAATGTTTCTCCCCTGATATGCTGTTGTGAAATCGACATTTTTTTTTAAGTGTATCGAGTAATGTGCACATGAAGCCTTCGACGCTCAGCTCAAAAATCTACCATAACAATCGAACACATTCGACAAGTATATATACATATAATGCTCAAAGTAGTACAACAAAAACGATTCCAACTTTTCTACATTTGCCTACGTTACGCTTGTAATTAAAATTATACATATTCCAAATAATTATGCGGTTAAACAAATAACTACGTTTTTTTCTTGCTATCTACTGCTGTTGCTGCTTTACAATGAAAAAAAGTACGTATTAAACCAACCAATTGCACGCGTGCTATATATAATAGAAATATGTGTATTCGAGTCGATCAAATTTAATTTTTTTTTGTTTTGGACATCACAAGTAACAAAACGCTGAATTATATTTCATCCATTAGAAATGAGATTAAAGCCTGCACTTCAGCGATATTATTGTCAAAGGCGAGATTAAATATGTATAAATAAATAAATAAAAAGAAAGAAAGAAGGTAACAACAAAACACGACACAGAGCGATAAAATAATTATTAGATAAAAAACTGGTCCCAGTAAATCACGATCTTGGAGTGATCTCGGAAAAATGTACACGACCTGCATCGAGGTCCGAGTATAATATAGAGAGAGAAAAAAAATATTAAAATAAAAATAGCTTGTAAGCAACGTACAGGTGCTGATAAATCGTTATATTATAAAGTTCGTACATCATACTTTGGGTAAACGTTGTACTTTTAATTCAAAAATATTTTTTTTTCTATGTATATCAAGTATATACACATATATTACAGAATGTTTGTATATATAGCAGTGCATAACAGACAAGAAGTTGCAGCACGACATTACTAAATATAATTTCATTAACTCATATGAGCTCTCTATGAATAGAAAGAAAAATAAAAATAAAAAAGTTCTCGACTTGAGAGGACTTTTCAGCAAAATTATATTAAAAAAAAAAAAAAACATGAACTATATTTTTAATAATGAGAACTTATATTTACCGGCGGCGTCGTGCTACATCCCGTGGATTTTTTAAATTTTATTTTTCAAAGCGCGCTCAACATTATTCTTTATTACACGTGTATTATGAATGAATTACGTGATTGTACTTGGGAGCAATTTCACGATGAATCTTTATTATTTTGAAATGTTTTTAAAATAATAATAATAATTATGTGCTTTAACGCGGCGATGAAAATAAACAAAAAATAAATAAAAATGTTTTCAATAATAAATATTTTCATCCAAATGATAAACTCATTTTTTTGTATAAACTAGTATATGACTTGAAAATTTCAACTTAGTGATTAAAAAAATTCCAAAATAATGAAAATTTTTTGTAATTGCAACTATACAAGTACATCGATACAAACACCAAATCATTCGAAATACACAGTAAAAAGCGAGATAGGACGAATACCACAATAAAAAAATAATGCGACCGACTTTCAATGATTAAGAAAAAAAAAAGAATTACAACAGCACGAAGAAAATAACATATATATAAGACTAGTAGACATGTAACAAACAAAGAAAAAATTAACCAGATATTAAAGTTATGAGTGAAGAAAAAACAACGTAATACAGATACATTATTATTTTGGCGGCAGATTGAAATATCTGGATTTTAGACTTACTCGGTCTTCTTCTCCGGTTGCCTGTTTATTCGATTATCGTATCAAATAATCGAATTTCGCGATAGACAGAGAGATTTGAGTCGATCCGCGTCGATTGCAATTTTTTTTCGTTCGTTCGTTCGTTTGTTTTTTTTTTTTTTTTTTTTTTTTTTTTTTTTGGTTTTTTTGTGGATTTCGTGCGATCGGGCGCGTAGTACGGACGCAATGTGGAAAAGGCAACAAGAAAAAAAAGAATTAAACATGAATTAATGTCATTGGCTCCATAATATCATTTTTGGTTTCCTAACAAATTATGTGTGTATAATAATTCTCCCTGAACAACATATAATATGTCTATATATCCTGTATAACAATCAAAGGGGCCATCTCTGAGAAACCACCCCGAGAGCTTCAATCACTTATATACGTATGCGTTATGCAGCTGCGAATAATAGGCTCGAACCGAAATAACACACTCGACGTGTCGTGGGCAGCAGAGCAACGGCGGCGGCGGCGGCCGTTATAGAGCGGGGCATGAGATCGTTTCATTGTCATGAGAGATGACGCTGTCTCTCTCTCTCTCACTCTGTTTCGCGATTTTCGTTTCTAATTATAAACGCGAGAAACGTACGTACGGCTTAGACTCGGCCGGCTCTCGAGTCGAGGACTTTGTGTTATTCAATATGCTTTGCTTTGCCGCCTCGTTATCGTCCCTATATAAGCGTCGGTTTTACGATACCGATTTTTATCGTCGATTCTCTATGGATCGTATCACGAAAACCGAACGGAAGAAATTCGCGCTTTGAAAAACAAAAAGAAAAAAAACAAGTGCATCTTGGTGCATCGCATCGAGAGGTGAAATTTTCAAGCTCGTTTTCTCGTTGCTGCAACTGTTTTTCGGGCTGTCTCTCTGCGACTAAATCCGTATCCGGGTAGAGTAGCTTTTAGTGGCGTCCGCGCGCGCGCGCGCGTACTCCGGACACACCGCTCTATTTTCGTGAAGGAAACACGCGCTCTAATTTTAAACCGGCCGGCATTACAGAATAAATGCTATTCTTTTTCTCTCTCTCTTTCTCTTTTTCTAGGTTCTCCTCGACGACCATTTTTCTGTACTCGATCATCAAAAAACTTTTCGGTACTTTACGTAATATATACCGCAAAAGACTCTATGATGATGACGATTTCTTCATCGATATCGGATTTTAGATTAAAAATAGAGAGAAGAGAGATTGCAACTACAAGGGGTGGTACTAAAGCTACTACTAGTTTCTTTAAAGGTGTTTCAGTTGTGACAGTTAAATAAACAAAAAAATAAATAAAAATAAAAGGGAATGGAATTAAAGAGGGGTTGAAAAGAGTCGACTAGAAAACTTGTGTATGGTAACCATGATTGAGTTGCAGGATTAACACTTACTTCCTGTAACGAGACAAACAAAAAAGTCAAACATTATTCAATGAGTACAGGAGAGGGTGAATCGATCGCTGCGAAATAAATCAACTTACACTTCCTCGACCTCCTCTTCGCTGCTGCAAAAAATAAATAGTTAAAGGTACACTGGTTAATCAAAAAGGTATACATAAAAGTAGGGCTGATGTTTATTTATGATCATTCAATGAATTACAGGTAACGTTCGATTAATTTACCGACGTAAGGGGGTGCAAAAAACATTCGAGGAACATTTACGACAATGGGAATTGATCGAGAGAAAAAAAATTGTGTTAATTTCGGTAAGAAAGTGTGACAGTAGGTGTTTCGTGAAAATATCTAAAAGTGTATTTTTGGAATATATATTTACCGTCACCTACGTATATCATTGGGGCACAATGCGCTCGCTCGCTAGCAGAAAACTGTTCAACTCCTTATTCGTATACGATTTTACGTTAAATAAAAAAAAAATCAAACATTAATATATTTTAACAATTGCAAAATTTTAAGTAGTGCCTATGGTTCAAAGTGATATCTATAAATAATCCGCGAATCATCGCAAGGCTCTGTAAACAACGAGTACGTATTATTTTTTGCGCGAAATAGGCCAAAATAACTCAATAACAATGTCATCGACAACGAATCGAAACAAACGCGTACGTCATTAGAGAGGGAGAGTATATAACGTGCGCTGCTGGCTTCGACATAATTTCAGTTCGCGAATATAACGTGACTTTTGACGAAAGAGCCAAAAATCGACACGTTCGGTCGATCGGTATTTTTTTTCAATACATAGGGGAGAGGCGGGTAAGTGGAACATGGCTGGTAACCGTGTCACCTCCATAAAAAATGCAATTTTCAACTTAAAATTATGAAATAAATTTTTTCATAGTCCTTTCATCATTTATGATATTTGTACGAAAAAAAATTTGAAATTCAATAAAAAATAGAAATTTCATTGTAATTTTTTAATTTTAATATATGTTATAGAGCTTGAGCTCCCCTTTGCAATGATCGTTTCAGATTTGAAAAATTTTAAAAATTCGCTTCAGGAAGCAAGTTTGAAGTTATGGTGTCACTCATGCCCGTCTCTCCCCTATATACGTATGCGAAAATGTAGCTAAAAAAGTATATAATCGTGTGTACTTACGAGTATTGTTCCTCTTCGTCCGACATGTTTGGAGTTTAAGAGACGCTGAAACAGAAAAAAGAAGAAGGCGTACGATGATCTTTGGGCGGTCTTTGAAAAAAAGAGAGGTTTACGAGGTCGTTAGGTGAAGAGCAGCAGCAGAAAAAAAGCAGATAAAACTAAATAACGCTCGTGTCAACACGTCCGCGAATTAGTGTTGTTGTGACAATTTGGACACGCGATCGGCCGTAAAAAAAGATAAATTAGAAAAACACGAGATGACACGCGCTCGTCTTTTTATTATTATTTCTTTTTTTTCAACCATTTTTTACGATTTATTAATTTACCGACGTTTATAGTTTTTTTTTCCCCCATTCATGCGTACATTTTTATCTTCTAATTTATGCGTATTCTCACTCTTTCGTTTTTTTCTATAGCTTCGTGGGAATCAAAAGTACAATAGGCGAAATCTCAGAAATTTATCACGCTGGCTTTTTTTAGCCCTAGTGTCGGATCGACGACTTTTCCACCTGAGGGTTACGTAACGGACCATTATATATTTTCGCGCGCGCTCGTTCTATTTTCTTTTTGCGCGTTTCATGGTTGTTTACTCGGGGGGATTATTATATCACGCGCTAAAAATTATTATGGCACACTGCATCGGCCTGCCAAAAGTGAATATTGTTTCAAATATCTTTTCCTCTCTCTCTCTCTGTCTCTCTTTCTCTCTTGGTCTCTCTGGCTTTATACGGCGACAATCCCTCAGTTAAGGCAAGCCTAATTATAGAGGCCACCTCTAAACGGAGCCATCGCACGAGCGTTTAAACATTTGTGCGTTGGAAATATTTGAACAAAACTGGTCTACATAGTAGAGCTCGAGTAATTTTAACTTTTTGCAGCAAAATCGTTGGACGGAAGCACACAACATTTTCAAAATAATAAAAACGACTCCTTTTATTTTCTGAAATTTTCAAAGCACAGTACAGCACTTGACACATCTCGTACTTCACCAGCACGATGCACTCGCAATTCCACGGTTAGATCGAAAATAGATGAAAAAAAATTTTTCTAGTTCGATGAAAAATCGCAGCGATCGTTGAAAAGCTATTGATGATTTCAACTTTAAAATCACAATTCACTCCTTGTGTCGCGCACAAAAACGCACAGTTGACATTTGCCACGATCCTCTCCTTACACACGGCACTTTGCTAATTATCACTTGCTCGTTATACAGCACATCACTTGTGAGAGTGGACGGAGAGAGACAGATAGACAGAGAGAGAGAAATTGACGGGTTGGCGACAAATGTGAAAAAATGTGAGCAATTATAAAGTAAAAGTAAAAAAGAAAAAAAAATAGTTAACAGCTTGTTACGGTGTTACGTTTGCATGCGATACATATCTATAGATGGCGTATATTCAATACGACTTACACTTGTTCCTTTACAGAAAAAATGGGATGGTACTGTGTGCGTGTGTTGTGTGTCGTGAAAAGCACGGGGGGAAAATGCGCGCGTGTGGATTTTTCTTTTCTCGTCTCGCAGGCTGACGGCGGCGGCGGCGACAGCAGCAGCAGCAGCAGCAGCAGCAGCAGCAGCAGAGCCCGTGGGAATGTGAGAGGTGGTCTCAGCGACTGGTCGGCAGCGGCTCTGAAAGGTAGCTTGCACCGAGCTTGATGAGCTTTTTCGCGTTTACTATATATTGCCTACTCCTCCTCCTCCTCCTCCACTAGCTGCCGGGTGCTGCTGCAAGCTCGACGTCTCTCTCGAGCCGACTCGATTTTCTTCTTCTTCTCCTCCCGCTATATGCACGCGTCCGTATACTTACTATAGGTATCTATTTTCAGGCCTTCGTCGTGGGTACGTCTGTCCTCTTTGCGCCGCAACGAGAGATGCAGGCGCTTAATTCTCGCCCCAGTCCATCGCGCGCGGTTACTCTGCGAAGCGGCTATTTCTGTACAGCTCGGAGCTGGACTCGAGAGATTAAGAGAGAGAGAGACACGCGCGAGTGAACGTTTCTCAACACGGGGATTGACGTACTACCTACTGCTGCTGCTTTTGAGTTGACACGCCCGCGCGTACACATGCGATATACGCAGCCATGACGCGTCCCCATAGATCGATCGCGCCGATCGCTGAGCTCCACTACCGATCGTACGCCTCGTGGAGATCTCCGAATGTCGGATTAGCACCACGCCCGTCTTATGTCATAGTACATTGATTTCCATACGCGTCGGTGCTTTTGTAAATAAAAAAAAAAACAAAATTCCATCATTGGGAATGCCATAGAAAAATGTTAGTACGTAACGTATTTAAGAGACACATACCGATTTTTTATGCATCGTATGTTTTCATTAGCAATTTTGGACCGTGGCAATATTTTTAATGTCGCGATTCTCGTCATTATTATGGCTCGACGTGTGGCGGCCTATTTAGACTTAACTGCCTACTCGCGGAGGCGATCGTGCCTCCGCCTTTTGATGTATTTATTCGCGGCTTCTTTTGCTGCATTGATTTATTGCAAGTTTCAAATGTATCGATGATCAACTTACCATTTTGTGATTCAGCTTTTATTTCTCATTCGTATATCTCTTTTTTTGATCATTGATTTTGATAATTATGAATTAGAAGTTGAGTAATCGATCGTCGATCGGTATTTACATGAAGACTTCCTTTATCATTCAAGTACATGAGTCTGAGTTCGAATGTATAATTTGTTCAAAGTAATATAATTTATTATTTTCTGTAGAAATTTCAAAAATTAAAAAAAGTAATAATTATAAAATTGTAAGTATTTATACTTCCGCAATTTACAAATAATAAATTATATACATCTACATACACATGAGTCAATGAAAAAGAGATCGGCGACAGCATATATCACATTTTTTTCTCAATTAAATATACTGCGAAGTATAAAATATAAAAAAAGTTTTTCACTTTATCCAAGCCTCGGCGTTTGTACATTAGATACAAAATCATTTTTCAATATTTACAACTCTTTCATTATAAAAAAAAAATAAAATAAAATTTACCGTCTCGACTCGTCGATTAAATCATTCGTTCTCAAACGAAGCCTACTTATATTATATATACGTTGATTCTCGTCACAGCCCCATGCCGCTGAACGAGCGATTCAACGCCTCCTGCTCGCAGTACCTCTTGAACCTGGGCATGTTCAGAATGGTCGCGGCCTCGACCAGCTCCTCGACGATGCCCGGCTTGCAGTCGAAGTTCACGCAGGCCTGGTAGATGAAGCGCATCGTCTCCGTCACGGCTTCGTAGCTCATGTCCGTGGGTACGATCACCGGCACCGACTCCTCCGCCCATTTCTCGAAGAACATCCGGAAGGACGGACTGGCCGAGGAGAGGATGCACCTGTGCGCCGGCACCTCGCGGCCGTCCTTGCTCTTGATTCTTGCGTCGCTGTCGGCCTCGTTCAGAAAGTAGTTAGACACGAGCTCGCCGTTCGGTGCCACGTACAGATAAATCTCCGAGCCGTTCATGATTGTCGTCCTGAACGTGACTGTCGTCGTCGTCGTCGCACGCGCGCGCACAGGCACCAATTCCCAACGATGTATCGTGTCGAGTAAAAATTTACGAACGTACTTCGATGTGTTTTGTTTACATGTATCCGAGAGCGGCAGTTACCACTGACGTATTCGGGACTACGCGCCAAGATGAGTGTGAATGGGAGACGGATTTCTCTCGTGATATAGTCCTCAAATCTTGAATTTCAGTGCGAAATGCGCAAGAAATTCACCTGTTTGAAAATCTGGTTTACTCTCATCAGATATCAGCTGACAGGAAATTAAATTTGACTTCTTGATTCTTGATTCTTGTTTAAACATTTAAATCAGAGCAAAAAGCCAGTACAGTTACAGTTAATTAAATTTCAAATGATTCTTAACAATTCAGATTTCAAAAATATTAAATGTATTTTTTAAATTTTCACCACATGATAAGATATTTTTATAACATATTTTACTTTATTGGTACAAAAATCACTATACCACAGAAGGAAGCAACAAAGCTCCACATTTATGGAATTAATTAAATCTAATTATTTACAACAATACTTCTGGTAATTTTTTTATGTACATGCATCAATTAAGTATACCTATCATTCAATTGAATAACTATACTTTAGTCAGTATCTCTGTGACGATGATATGATGACGACGATGATGATGATGCTTCCATTGAAATTGGTTTCTTGAATGGACGTTCTTTTCCACCAAATCTCAATTGGCCAGATTCTTTTTTACCTCCAAAACCACCTCCTATTAATAATATAAAATTAACTCTATTATTTAAGGAATTAAGTTTAAGCAATAAGAAAATAAACAGTAAAAGAACTCACCAAGTCTTCTTGGCTTCCAATTTTTCATAACTCTACCAACTTCTAAATCAACGAATAGTTTATGATTGAATAGAACTAAATCATTGACCCTTCTTGCCAGTCTCCAGGCATCGCGTTCTGATCTCATTTCTACAAATCCGTAACATTTTGAATGACCAGTAACAACGTCGTATATTACTTTGACAGATACTACTTCTCCATGTTGCTCAAACAGCTAAGATAATAAAAAAATTATATGAGTATTTCCATAATATATAATTATTTATGTGTTACTTTATGAATCCACATTACCTCTTTCAAATCATTCTTGCTTACTCTAGGTCCAAACCTAGAAACAAATAAAGTTCTCTCTGGTTTTGACTTGAGATTTTGTGGAGGAACGTAGCGTGATTCTAATGCTCGAGTGATTGCTTTATCGTGAGGTTCGGTATCTGTGCCATCAATACTTCCAGCTTTTAACGCATCATATTCGTCTTTAAAATAAGCACTCCAGTTCTTCAAACTTGAATTATCCTGCAATTTATTAAATTTTTATATTCATTGTTTGATTTTATATCTTATTTTACTATCAATCATTATTAGTAATGATTATTGAATATAATTGATCTAATAATTCTTACCATAATGCTGAATTGAATTGATTAAAGAGTCCTTGAAAATCAAAAGAATCAGAAAGAAACGAACGCAAATATAAGCAAAAGTTAGAGAATATTTTGTTATCTTGTATTCAGTACATGTTTGTTATGATGTGCTGCGTGCAGTCATCTGCTTCTTGTCGTCTGCTCATATGTCAACAGACCCGCATCGACAAGCAAGTTACTCCACCTGTAGGTCGATCGCCGAACAACTGAGTGGAAAACGTGTCGGTGCATCTTCCGATGCACTGGCGCGAGTTATAGAAAAATGAACAACTTTAGGAAAATTGAAAAAACAGTTTTGAGTAAAATTCTATTGTTTTATTAAAAAAACTCTTTTTTACTTTAAATATTACAATATTTTCTTAAATTGAATGAATTTTAAAATTAAAATTAGATTTTGTATTCACTCATAAATTATCGATACAATCAATAAAATAATGCACATCAAATTTTACGCGGAAAAACTACTACAATGCTACTAATTATAAATTTTAATAAACAAAAATTGTGAATTGGAAAAATATTAAGCTACGAGTAAAATTCATTGATTTGGTCTTTATTAATTGTAGCTGGAGACCGAGAAAGGGACAAAACCATGTATAAAACTGACCACACTTCCGTACAACAAAATGGTATCAAAGGGGTAAAATCGGTCAATATCCGGAAGCTCGCGTGCACAGACATATAATTATCGTTCAGTCGATCGGGCGTTACAAAACAGTCTTGACAACGAATGAAAATTTGTTAATTTTCTTTTTTTTTTCTTCAGACGAGCTCGAGATTGATGTGGGCGCCCATGCGCTTGAGGGCGAGAATCGTGTTGACCGCCTTGACCCATCGCTTCTTGATGACGTAGCGCTTGAGGCGCACCTTGGATATGGGATTCTCCAGGGACGACTCGAACCAGCGATGCTCCAGAAGTTTGTCGGCACCGGGTCGTTTCCTGCCGGTCAGTTTCAGTCAGCCGTAATATAATAATAAAATTACCACGCACAAACCGCACACGCACAAGCCCCGTGTTAAGCGACGTTAATTTTGACAGCTCCAACCCAGGTGAAAATAGTATGTCAGATCTGACTCCAGATCTGGCATCAGATCTGGTATAAGATCTGATAAATGTACGCCAGATCTGATACCAGATCTTGTATTCGATAATCGACATCAGAACTTATATCAGATCTGATATCAGATCTGACATCAGATCTGATGTCAGATCTGAAGTGACTGTATCGCCTTTAATTAATTAAACAATAACTTTATTAATAATTAAAACTTTATAACAAATTTAGTTATATTTTAATAATCACATCGATAATACCTTTAAGAAAAATTCCTACAATATTTAGGTTTCTGATAATGTGAATTTAAATTGATTCAACAACTTTTATTATTAAGATTTATTATAAAATTTTAATTATTAATAAACTTATTGTTTAAATAATTGAAGGCATTACAGTCACTTCAGATCTGACATTAGATCTCATGTCAGATCTGATATAAGTTCTGATGTCGATTATCGAATACAAGATCTGGTATCAGATCTGATGTCAGATCTGGTGTATATTTGTCAGATCTTATACCAGATCTGATGCCAGATCTGGAGTCAGATCTTACATACTATTTTCACCTGGGAAAATTATTATTCGGTTATTTGATGTAAATCGAGTTGTTTTATTTTCGGCAAGCCTTTTGGCGTTAATTGGTTAATTGGTGGGGTACACAAAGTTAGTACAAAAACTTGTAACATCAAGGATTTGCCACTACAAGTAAGGAGATATAAAAGACTATTCGTTATAAATATCAAATTCAATTTTATTCATCATTTCTTGAGCATCTTGCAGTCAACTAAATTATTTTTTTTTTATTACACAATAATCTACATATAATTTAGAACTCGTGTCGATGAAGTACAAAAGTTGACTTTGATAACTGATTGTATAAATGATCGAGTCTATCGATTGAAATAAACATTAGATAATTTTCTGATCAATTCGTCTATTACAATACAACGCCATACAAAATAACAATCATATAAACATAACTATCCGAGAATCTATCAATTTGTCCTACGATACATGTTAATAATTTTTCAATAATTACTTAATTTTATCATACATAAGATATGTATATGCTGCGCATATAGCAACGCATCAGAGACACACAGATTGATCGCATATTATAATATATATAAATTAGTTTCAGAGTGGCAGTTATCAATCAAAGAGGATACAGGGATTAGTCAATGTTTCAGACGTGTTCACTGCCTTAGCCTAATTATCGGATGTTCGTGCCTCGATCGCGTAATCACAGTATTCCATTCTTCTCACAATTAATACTAGCAACAGCTATACATATGCTAAATTTGCCACAATACTTGCTCGCACACATCCCAACAAAAGTGACGCGACGCATGTAGAATAATTAAAATCATTGCACTCGTTGCGACTAGGCAATCGTCGAACGTAATTGTTTTATAATACAGTATATAATGGCGATCACGAAAAAAAAAAAACGTAAGAATACACTCGATATCGCAGTTAAGCCGTTGTATATAATATAGTTTCCGTTCACGCGGACAAGCACATAGATATCGGCACGTATTACATATAATACCAATTTTAGCGCGCGCAGAAACGAAATTGGGAATGTCTAATGTATACAGCAACAGTCATATTTACTAGAGAGGTTCCACGTGTTATTCGTTACAATAATATATATGTATAAAAATCATTCGCGTCGTAAAAATTAAAAATAGAGAGAGATAGCTTTCTTGCATTCGTCGTGGAAAGAACAAAGTGAAGAAGAATCACGACGCGGAGGGTCAGCGCTGATCCGAATCGTTGGCGGACTTGTTGTTCTGCTGCTGCTGCTGTTGCTGCTGCTGAACGGTGGCCTTGAAGTAATCCGCGAGCGAGTTGATGGAGCTGCGCGCGACCGAGTCCTCGCCGCACCAGTCGATACTGATGCTCTTGCGGCCGGCGCTGCTCCAGCTCGCGGCGTTGGTGGTCGGCCTCGTGCGCAGCTCCGACCACTCGTCGATCAGCTTGAGCAGCAGATCCTTGGTGCTGGTGGGCTCGTCCAGGTTCATGGTCTTGTGCAGGTCGCGCAGATCGGCGATGCGCGGCACGTCGCGACACGTCTCGCCGAAGCGCCGCTTGGCGCGTCGCCAGCCGCCGACGAACGTCGAGCTCATGGAGCTGGTGCTCGGCGACTCGTCCTCCTTGTCCGTATTGTACTTGTCGAAGCTTTGACAGCTCTTGAAGGCGGTGCCGTTGAGCTTGCGCTGCCTCGCGATCTTGGACAGCTTCTCGTTGATCTCGTTCGTGTGTTCCTCCGTTCTTTCCTGTTGGCTGCTCGTCGTGGCTTTCGAACGTAGCCTGGTACTAGTAGTCGTAGTGGAACTTTTATTCTTCGACGCGTCAACTACGGCGGACTTGGTCGACTCTTTGCTCAATTTACTAATGTTATTATTGTTATTGTTGCTTTTGTCATTTTTCTCCTCGTTGCCATCATCGTCTTCATCGTCGTCGTCGTCGTTGCTGCTGGACGCCGCGGCGACGGCCACCGTGAACGATCTGAGATGCTGCGACAGGCGTATTATCTCCTCGGCCAGGTGAATCTGTGAGACCGGATCCGGCCGGCCGTAGTAGCTCATCACTCGGCCCTCGGAGGCACGCCTGCCCAGCGCCACCTCGGGCACCACCAGATTGAAGGTCTTGGTCTTGGTCGGCGTCGTCGTCGTCGCGGCCGGGCTCAGCGGCTCGGTGTTCTCGCTCGACGTGACGCTGCCGCACGGCGACGGCCGATGATTTCGCAGGCTCGGCGGGCCCGCCGCCTTCGACGCGCTGTTCGTGTTATCGCGATGATCGAGAGGCTCGACCACGTACGGGCTGTCCGGGTGGTCGCGCCAGCGCTCGATGAACAGTCGCAAATTGTCCTTGGTCAGGTCGAGCTCGAGCTTGGGCTTGGGCTTGGTAGTAGTGGGTTGCTGATCGGAGGCTGTGCTGCTGCTGGCCGGTGGCGACGCTTCCGTCCTGGTGATCACTAATGGTGTCTTCGCCGCTGCTGCTGGATAGCGCACACCGAGCCAGGGATGCTCGCGACAATCCGTTGCGCTGGCTCGTGCTCTGAAAGCAGAGGCCAGAAAGACCAAATTGTCCCGATCATCGAACTTCGTTTTTTTTTTTTATCGTACTTGCCATTTTTGTAATTTTGCTCGATATAATGCTTTATAATCGTCACTTTTTCCGATTTTGTACACTTGCAGTTGTTTTATCTTTATTTTTTTTTTAATACGCGTGTGCGAGTCGTGTTCTTCGCGATTTGTCGGATCCGCACAGATTGCACGCGTCCAAATGAGAGAGGTAAACTTGTTAAACTATCGATACATGTGCGATGATGATTTATTTATTTATTTTTTTTTAATATTATTGTAACATTTATAATTAAGATACATAGTGCTGAAGAAAGTATCGCCGTTACAGTGGCGTTTCGTTGTTTTTAATGGATATAGTAGTGGAATGATTTTGTGCGCTTATACAAAAAGTAGAAACTTACATGAGACACACACACAAAGCTACGATCAATCGTTTTTGTTTTGTTTTTTTTTTTTTTTTTTAAATTAATTAATTACGTAAAGCAGCATATCAAGCGATTATTTCAGCGACAAGAATTATATATAGCCGCAAGCTCAAGCCACAACTGCGCTGCAGTGATCGTTATTGTAAAGCAATTATTAATATGTATGATCCAAAATCGAGTCAATTACGATCTTTTTGTCGACTTACGCGATGTCTTTGACCAGGAGGCAGCGTATGAAGTCCTTGGCGTCCTCGGATATGTCGGCGAACGCCTCGTGGTCGAAGTCGTACTTGGCGATCGTCACGTTGGCCATCGTCTCGACGTCCGTGTCGCCCATGAACGGCGACAGTCCCGAGAGTCTGCATATCACGCATACCCAACGTCAACAACAAGAATTTTGTGAAAATAGCGAGGAGGGGGGAAAAAGAGCGACTAAGCTCGACTCACAGCACGTAACAGATCACGCCGATGCTCCACATGTCGGTGCCGAAGCCGATCTGGTCGAAGTTCACGACTTCCGGCGCGACGAACTCGGGCGTGCCGAACAGCACCTGCAGCTTCTTCTTGGGATCCCATTCGCGGGCCAGTCCAAAATCGATGATCTTGATGCGATTGCCCTCCTTCGTCAAGCACAATATGTTCTCCGGCTGCGTGTACACAAAGTAGAGCGTGAGAAAAAAGTCGGTAAATTTCTGACAAATCTTTTGGCGCGAGCTTATCGCTTCATTAACGATTCTTTGACGATAATTTTCAAGTGTGAATAATCATATTTATTGTTGTCTTTTATTTTCTGTTTATCAATAGTAATGTGTCCCATTAGGAATAAAAAAAGTATACAGATATCTCTGAGTAGAAATGTTCATCATGAATAATGGCCTCATGATGAAAAAATAAAAAATTTAAATGTATCCAAATGCACGGCGATTAATTACGCTTGTTATTGTCGATTTTTATGTTACAATTGCGTTACAAATAAAATCAAGCGCATTTTAAAGGCCGTCAAAATGACAATTCGAACATTTCAATGAGTGCAACATAGCAGTTTTCAACCACTTTATATACTATACTACTTTCAGTATTGACCACTAGATGGCGAATACCGTAAATTGTAAATCTGCAAGTGGCTAAGTGAAAATTATTGTATAAGTACGAGCACGGTTTTGGAGAAAGTGAAATCATGTCCATTAATACTCACTGGTCTAATAATATAATAATGTATAATCACCTTCATGTCGAGGTGGACGATATTTTGCGAATGAACGAACTCGATGCCCTCGCAGATCTGTCGCATGAAGACCGCGCAGCTGCGCTCCGTGAGGACGAAGTCGTCGTCGATGACCCGCTCAAAGAGCTCGCCACCCTCGATGCTGCGCGCGCGTACGTGCATGAAATTACAAAATCAGTCATATTTCACAGTATTATGCGATACAAAAAAAAAAAAAAAAAAAAAAAAAAAAAAAAAAAAAAAAAAAAAAAAAAAAAAAAAAAAAAAAAAAAAAAAAAAAAAAAAAAAAAAAAAAAAAAAAAAAAAAAAAAAAAAAAAAAAAAAAAAAAAAAAAAAAAAAAAAAAAAAAAAAAAAAAAAAAAAAAAAAAAAAAAAAAAAAAAAAAAAAAAAAAAAAAAAAAAAAAAAAAAAAAAAAAAAAAAAAAAAAAAAAAAAAAAAAAAAAAAAAAAAAAAAAAAAAAACAAAAAATCATTATTAGATCGCTCACAGCTCGAGCACCACGTAGATCTTCTGGCCGTGCTCGATGGCGTCGTAGAGCTGTATGAGGCGCGGATGCTGCAGCCGGCGCATGATCTCGACCTCGCGCTCGACGGCGCGCCTGTCCTCCTTGCGGCTCGTGTTGACCACCTTGGCGGCCAGGCACAGGCCCGTCCGTTTCTCCTTGCATTTGTACACCGTGCCGAATTTCCCTCTGCGAATTATATCGTTAGGAAATCGTTTTATATTCAAGAAAAACAGGAAAAACGATCGAAAAGCGATCTCTCACTCTCTCGAGTGACCTCGAGCTTGCGCGGCGATGTTTATATTTACGTTTTTTTTTCTTCTTTTTACTCTTCTGCCCGCGCGAGCTCGCCGGGGCTTTACAGATCGTAAATCAAACGGCACTTTGGCATTAGAGCCGAGCGAGAGAGAGAGAGAGCTCGTTCGAACTCGTTCGATAAATTCCGCCCGCGACAACAAAATACAGCGCTCATACATACGCAGCATATATAACAAAAACAAGCGGAGCTTTCGTCCCACACGCATATTATATACGACGATGCTGCTGAGAGAGCCGCTGCAGCTCACAGACGCGAGACAATGGCGGACGATCTCGGGGGGCGCTCGCTCGCTCGCTCGAGCGCGCGCGTCAGCGACTGCCAAAACGCGAAAAAGCTCGAAACAATTGCGCAACGCGACCGATGACAGACGTGGAAACAAGCGTTAATTCTCGAGCGGGACAAGCAGCTTGCGGTTAAGAGTGCAAAAGTTTAAGACAGCTCGCGCGCGCGCGCGGTACGAACCATATAACGGGATGGTTGATAATATCGTAATACGGAAACGACGCAAAGGTCACACGCACGACTCTTTCTCGAAGAAACGACGATCGGATCGTGTATCGAGTTAATTGGCTTCGCACTCGTACATACTCGAAGGTCTGGGTCGATCTTATACACGCCTAAAAGCTCATATACACCGCACAAGAAACACGATAAATCACGCTCTCTTACGTAAAGCATCGCACTGCAGGACACACATTGTTCGGCTAAAGCAATTGTCACGTTCGCACTGCGAGAGAGAGAGAGGACGGCGGGGGTCGCAGTTCACGCGCGTCAACCTCCCCCCGGTGTATGCGCGTGTCGAGTGGCCAGATACACGACTATATACATTATAAAACTGCAATCGTGCGTTACGAAGTCTACGCGAGTAAAAAAAAGAAGCGTCTGAGTGACGAGCCCCCTTAGCATAAAAGAGCTTTTTTACCGATTCGATATCGTTGTATATTTGTGCGGATGGGGGGACGCCATTTACACACGCAATCGCGCAGCACGTGTATAACTCTTATAATACACGAGTCGAGAGAGCGCAATTCGAGCGCTACAAATTGTCCGGCTCATTAATCATTAGCCTTGACTTTTGGCCAAGCGAGCGTCGGCTTTTTATGTATAATAACCCGAGGTAAAGCTCGAATACGTCGAGTCCCGGTACTTACACTCGCAGTAACATTGGTAGTAGTAGTAGTAGAACGAGTCAAATTTTTGTACGCTAGCGCGAAGCTATTCTCTCGACGACGCGATTCGACCCGCTGCGATCCAAGAATTTTCATGAATCGAAGGCGCGCGTAAGCTACTCGAGCTACACACACGCGTTGGCAGATTTCGAAGCTCGCGATCGGCGCGTATATAGATGCAAAATTCACAGTTCGTTGCTATGATACGTGCAGTATGCTCGCGTAATCCATCTCGCGCGCCGAGAGCTTGCAAGCGATCGTAACTCGTAAGTATATTATAAATTTACGTTCGACGTGTCTCGCGTATGCGTGTATTGTTTCGTGCTTGCCTCGACTTACATTGGCATCGGGAAGCGGGTACCTCTTTCGTCGCGCTATATACGCGCCAATCGACAGCTCGGGCCGAAACAGGCAGGCAGCGCAAAAACAAACGATCGGCTATATAGCTCATATATCGGTGAAAGAAAAGCTATTAGCCAGAAGCTTTGCTCTCGTATACACGGTAGCGCGAAGCGTGGTGGAGGACGCGTATACGGTCGCGTTCCTGAGACGCTACGTTCGTGGAATTTATTTCTCCTCCGCAAGCTCTCGCAGCTTGCGAATCGTAAATAAATCGGCTGTTCCGACGAGCCACGTCTGTGTTTGGGTGTGTATATAAAAGCTCGAAGTTCGACGTCGAGAGCTTTTATAACGACCTTGGCGGTCCACAACAATGAAAGAGTCAGAGAGAGAGAGAGAGAGAGAGAGAGAGAGAGAAAGAGAGCCCCCCGCCGGCGAGTGGGCGGCTCGTATTATACACCGCACACTAAAAACGATCTCGCGCGCTCGAGACAAACGCGAAAGCTCGCTCCATTTGACGCGTAGCGCAAAACGGGAAACCGAGCTATATACGATATAATCTTCGCGATTGGCGTACGTACCCTTTGTATCGTATATATGCGCTTGTCTATATGTACGTATACGCGCGCAGTGCTATCTAATACCGCTGCTGCCAAATGCCAATCCCCGAGAGCCCGCGACGACGAGGCGCGATACGTAATGCCAAAAGCCTCGCCGCGACGATCGGGTACGAGCGAGCTTGCGTACGGACACTTTTATTGTATCCGGAGTAGCGTGTAGATAGTCGCGGCGGATATGCGTGTGTATACCAAAAATGTATACGACGAGCACCGCGATCCAGCAGACGATCGTGTCTATATACCGAAAAGTGCAACGATCGAGAAATTACCACGAGATTCGTAATATATATATATATATTGGTATGCAAGCTCTCGCTATTATTGGTAAGAGGTCAGATGCTACTATATACACGTATGGCACACACGATGTACAATAATGATAATGATACACACCTGCCGATCTCGGACTCGATGTTGTACTGGTCCTTGAAGTCGATCCCCTTGCGCACCGTGACATCTCGATAGGGAAAGCTCGGCTCGAGCTCTGCAACGACAACGACAAAAATACAAAAGTGAGCATGAGTAATCTTATATAGCCGGATCGAAGCAAAATAAAGACGAGAGAGGCCTTGACACGATAAATCCGCCCAAAAGAGAAAGAAAAACAACGCTCGCACGCTTTTTTCCCCCTAACCCACTGAGATTCTTCCGTAGTGCTGCGTTATATATAATTGTAATACATAAAATGTATAATCGACGACGAATATATTATATACGCTCGTATAGTTTATGACCCGGCTCGACGATGTCTGCATCCGAGGTTTAAGTTTGACACGCACACCGATCGTGTATACGTCTCTCGCTCTGTCTCTCGGGCACGCGGATATTTCGCCATTCGACCTCCTTATAGATTCTATAAATATATCTATATCTATAAAACGTATACATCAAATACAGTACGTATTCGTACGCTCGCGCATCGATTATATTCGCGCGTATATATATAATACGAATGTAACGTAACTTAATGCGGGGATAAATAATAATGATATTAATAATATCGCGGGGCGCGCTCTGCGCGTTAACGAACCCATCCGTAATCTCTATGCGCTAATTAAGCGCACGTTGAACGCGGCGCGGAGCGAGCGAACGACGTAAATCACGTTATTAAATACCTCCACCCGAGAAGAGGAAGAAGAAGTTGCGTTATGTATTATATACGCGACGATGCGCCGCGCGACTCGATTGAGAAAATTTGGCGATACATATATGTGTGTATGAGAATGAGCTCTTTGTCGAGTTGTATAGTTTGATCGAGATAATGAGCTTTTTTGTCTCCATCATCGAAATGATTGTCGGTGCGAATCTTCGTGGCGTAGTAGTACCTGCAAGCTGCCCAGCGCATGCCGCTATGTGTATATAGTACCCGATCGCGAAAGGTATTATTATAAGCTCGCGTCCTCTTCGTCTTTAGCCCAATACGCGTATTATAATCCCACACGATCTGTAGTAGTCTCTAGGCTACTGTGTACGTATGAGTGTATGTGTACGCTGGAATAGTGCACACACACTCACCGAAATGGACGTTTTCGGCCGAAATTCGGTTGTATACCGCCGCGCCCAGCCCCTAATGCCTAATAATAGAGATAGACTGCCGCCGCCGCCGCCGTCGTCTCCGCTACTCACTCACTTTTCCATAAAGCGAGTCGCTCGGTGCGCGCTTATATAGAGGCGAGGCGAGCCTTACTCTTATTATTTCCGGCATGGCTCGTGCTCGCGCCATATAATATGTGTGTCTGAGTGTGTATGTGTGTGCATGTGTGCTGCCTACGCACCTACGCACGCTTCTTTGTATACGTTTGTGTCTGCCTGCGTACATTTTATTTCACGCGTGCTTGCAAGCTCGCTCGCTCGCACACACACACACACCACTCGCACACGATGGGTCAAATAGACGTTCGTACATTTCATCTATATACGCCGTGGTTATAATATTCTTTGCTCGCGTCGAATTGGCTGCCAAAATAGACAAAATCCCTTTCTTACACGTATTATTATATAGCAGTGTCGATCGTGCGGAATTGCGAGAAAGACGAGCGTATACGATAGTTGTCGCTCGTCAACGATCCGCGCGCGATTCGAGATCGTAATTAAAAAAGAGCTTTGCGATACACGTACAGAGAGAGAGAGCAGTTTGCGGGCAATTACGTAAGTTGTTATTGTTAGTCGAATTATTAGCTCGGACGAGAGAATCGAGAGAGAGACGTACGTGAGACAGGCACGGAGCTATAATACGCGATACGGCACACAACTATATAGAGAGAGAGAGAGAGGGGGTGGAGGCAGAGAGTGCGAATTTATACACTCAGACAGACAGACGGATCATCCGGCTTCGTACTTATGTGCGCGTGCGCACGTCGGAAAGGGTTATTAATAAAAAAAGGCCTCGTTACTCTGATCGAACGATCGGCTCTTTATAATATATCGTTTGTATACCGATTGGCAGCTGCGCTTAAACCGCCTGTCGAGCTTTGTTCGTCCGAGCTTTCTTGAACACCAGTGCAAACACGCAGTTCCGTAGAGTTATACGATCGCCACGTCGCGAAAACAACGTAGCTGTCAATTGCGACGCGTGTATACGCGCGCGAAGCGAACGCGAGCTTTAACACCTGTACATAATGTAGCTCGACGACTGTCGTGTGTCGCGCGCGCGGTTGAATTATCGCATCGTCGCCGGAGAAGTGCAAAAATGTCGGCGGCGTGGCGCCTACATCCTCTATGCTCTATACTACGGAAGCGATGGCGGATGTGATTCGCGCATAGACGAGCTTGCGACGAGCTTGCACGAATATACACACACACGCATCGCGCATAATTCGCATACGGATAGCGTGAGTCAAATAGCGGAATTTATATGCGCTTAGCTAGGCTATAGCAGCAGCTAGCTGATCGGGAGAGAGAGAGAGAGAAGAGGGAAAAGCACGCGAGGCACGAGTTCGTCGACGCCGACGTCGCCAGCAGTTCCGGCAAGAGGCAAAATTGTAGCGCCGATCAATTAGCGATCCGTCATGCTGCTGCCTCTTGCTCTCTCTGTCTCTCTCCCTTTAACAACGGCGAAATAGAAACTGGCGGCAAAAATTTTCGGGGAATTTCGTCACGGCCGGGGAGGTAATACGGATGCGTATATAAGGCGATGTGTTCTGTAATAATGCGATCGTGCAAAAAAAAAAAAAGCAATGACGAAACACGATAACGATAATAGGGCATTGCGTGCTTGCGCGGTGACGAAACGTAACGGGCGACGATCGAAGATCATCGTGAGAATAATTACGTGCCACACACTATCGTCTCATGCATCATGGGATAATCATTGTTGCGATTGACACTCACCGCCGACTGGATCGGTCTCGTCGACTTTAATCATGATCTTCTTTGACGAGAGGGAGAGCGAGAGAGAAGCTGCAGCTTGCGCGAGCTTTTTTGTTGTTGTTACACGCTGCTGCTGGCCCCACGCAGAGTCGGCGGGCCTTTTACACACTATCGTTCTTTTTTCTGATCGCAATCAATCGTAAACTTAACGAGAACCAACGTATGCACCGTACGCGCCTATCCCTTCCTCGAGATGATTCACGCAATCATCCGTTCGTGCGATACGATCTCGTTGCAATGGATTACCAATCGCGAACTCTCACACGCGCACGCTAATTTATTTATTATTAAAAAATATCGACGCGATACGTAGGAAGAGAGCACCTATACGTGTATTCGCGTACGCGCGTCCGTCGTCGTCGATACGACGCGGCGTTCGCGATGAAACTGGTCTCTTGGACGATGAGGAAGCAGCGCGGTTCACAGTCGTTGGTATATACATATGTAGTATACGCGCAAACTCACACACACACACGAGCGCGCGCGCGAATCATACGAATTTAGAGTACAGACGGCGAGAAGCGTGCTTTTTACTCTCTCTCTCTCTCTCTCTCTCTCTCTCCCTCGCTCTTAAAAGCTCGCTCCGTCAAACGCACAGGCGCGCGTGTGTATGTAGTACGTGAGAACACGCGCGCGGCGCCGCGAGACGTGCATATTATTATATATGTAAAGCTGCATGTGTGCACCGTGTTTGAAGTATAATATACGCGTTATATATCGTACGTTACAAGGCGCCGGCCGATGGCGCACAGCTTGCGCGCGGACACACTCGGCGATCCGCGTGACAATGTAATACACGCGCGGTACTGCTCTCTTGATATAGCGTGGAAAAGTCACCGGAGCCGAGCTTCGTATAGCTTCGATTTTCATGTATACGCGATGCACGAGGCAACTCTCTGCACCGGTGTTGGTGTTTTTCTTTTTTTTTTTTTTTTTTTCTACTCTTTCGCGCGAGCGCACAACTCGAGAGCTTTTTCAAAGCTTTTTCAGGCCGTCCAGCTGCGAAGCGCGCGCGCTTTCAGCTGCAGCGCCACGACGAGATGCACCTTGCACACACAGACGCGTGCTTGCGTGTGATGTGTGCGCGCATGGCTTCGCTGAGCTACGACTGCTATTGTTTGACGCGATCTACAACTACATATATAGCTGCGTGTGTGTTTGTGTGTACAGCGAACATTACATACGCGTTTATGCACATAGAAGCTCTCGAGTGCGTTATGATACACAGCAGGTGTGTATAGTGTGCAGTGTGTGCAGCACGTGCTCTTGTCAGGGTTCCTCTCCACGCGCCTCACAATATAAAGAGAAAAAGGGAGATACACGACTTTCTTTTTTCTTTTCCCCCATCGTTCAATGCGCTGCTCTGGCTACAGCGGAGCTTTTATTTGACGCGAGCTTGCTCGTATATGAGATGCTTTTTTTTTATATGCGCACGTGTACGCGTTGAAACTTTTTAACGACGAAAAGTTCGATCGATTGTCCTTGCCCGGTATATTACGATCCGATCCTCGCCGCATCGCCACGAGCTTTTTTGTCAGCATCAAAGTTCCAATGAATTTGATGTTAATTGTACAAAACTACTACAAAAGTTAAATTTTTAGACAAATCATATTAATAAGACTATGCAGTTACAGTAACAGTTGAATAAAAAAATATTCATTGATTTTAAGTGCGTAGATGTTAAACCAAAAATGGAGTTCCTGTCAAAAACCATCCTCAAAACCGAGTATCAAAGTTATCCGTCTAGCATAAAAATAAAAAATTAAAATCAGACCAATAATATCGATGAAACAATATTCATTGATTTTGAGTGCAAAGATGTTAAACTTGAATTGAATTCTTTATCTGCAGCTGTTTGCAAAACAGAACATCAAAGATTGCATCGTAATTTAAGGAGGTCTGTACCCCACTTACGAACCTACAGAGTCGAAAAATTTGTTTAATTTATATCTTTTTTTCCAAATCGAATATCGAAAAACGGCTCTGTGAGAGCATTCATTTTGTTGCTCTGAATAGCTGGTAAAAATTTTAACTAATTCCACCGACTAGATTTTTCGGAAAACGTGTTTGAAATTTTCACACGTTTCCCTGGCTTGAAATTTTCAAACACGTTTTCCGAAAAATCTAGTCGGTGGAATTAGTTAAAATTTTTACCAGCTATTCAGAGCAACAAAATGAATGCTCTCACAGAGCCGTTTTTCGATATTCGATTTGGAAAAAAGATATAAATTAAACAAATTTTTCGACTCTGAGGGGTACAGATCTCCTAAACCGAAAATCAGTCTAATAGCGTAAATGAGAATATATTTATTGATTTTGATGAGTACAATTTGGTTCGAAAGACTCACAAAGAAGAAACAAGTCCAAAGGCACAAATCAAAGTGGCACATAAAATCATTAGACGCCGTGAATGTGAGATTTGTCCCAAATCATTTGGACAAAAAGGTACACTCAAATCTCACGTAAATTCTGTAGATAATCGTAGCAAACCCTTTGAATGTGAGATTTGTCCTAAATTATTTCGATACAAGGGTACTCTGAAATCTCACATGAATGCTGTACGTACTGAAAGCAAACCCTTTGAATGTGACATTTTTCACGAATCATTTGGAGATAAAAAAGACCCTTCCAATATTACATCAATGCAGTGCATGATCGTAAGAAACCTTTTGAATGTGAGATTGGTCACGAATCATTTGGATATTGGAAAAACTTAAAAAGTCGCGTGAATACAGTACATAATCATCGAGCCCTTCGAGATATTGGCAAATCTTAAGAAGTCATAAAATTGAAGAACACAGTCTCAGCAAACCCTTCGAGTGCGACATTGGTCACAGATTGTTTGGATTTTACTCTCAAAATTCACGTAAATGCAGAACATAATCGCAGATAACTCTTCGAAGTGATCTACCACAAATACATAAACAAAAACGACCTCGAAACGCACATTAATGGGCTATGTAATTTTGTAAAACTTTTACATGAACACTCTTCAATTTTGCGAAGAACAATAAATTATTCTGAACCTTTAATAATACTCTTCTACTACTTTTTAGCAACATTATCTCCGCATAGAATCCCTTAGAAAAATGTCACGTAGGATCCACGAAATTTCTTCAAGGGAATAATATTGTGTCCGAAATACTTCGTTTCATCTAAAGCACGCTATTTCGAGTGTATAAAAAGTACAATATTTTACAAAAGAGGAAACACTTACTGTCTTATAATTTATGGATAATTATTTTGCACCCTCGTGATTTTGGTACTCGTTTTTTCGTTGTATCAAACACATCACCCCGAGACTTTGACTTTTTCAAAAAAGCAACGTCTCTTTTAACATAGATTCGGAATCTTTATAATCATTCGTGCATTTCGAACGATAAGTCTGATTCGAATTTCGTCATGCTTCTTGAACAAATTTTTATTAAACTTTGAATTATTTCGAATGAACAAATTTTCTTGTACCTGTCAATCTAGGGCCAATTAATTTAACAATTCTCATATGATAATTTTAATAATACCTGCTTCGACTGCATCACTGAACGGTGACACTCAACGGTTGAAAAAATCGCACGCACAACTACGAATTCACATGCTCCACTGACACAAACACAATACAATTAACACAATTGATGGACGATAAAGCCGGCTTTCTTGCAACGAAATAATGTTTTCCAACGCAAATTGAGTTATCGCACATTCTTGAATTTTGCATACAGATCGCAGATGCAAACGGTGCAAGGCATAGGCGAGAGACTGAGATCATTAGCATTAGTCCGTTAGCGCCAAACCGCAGTTGTCATTCGGTGCCGGGCGCGTGTGTTGTCATTGCATGGAATACTTAACCTCTTGGAAGTTTGCGCAAATAAGTGAATTCGAATGGATTTCAAATAACACAAGCACCGGTGGTTGCTTTTTTAATTTAAAAAAATGATGAATGACAAGTGAAGCTGTTCTTGAAACTCAGCTGGTTATTTTGAATCTGGACAAAATCTTTATCTCAACATGTCCAAGACTTTAATAAAACAACTGGAGGAGCGACAATTGCCAAATGAACTGGTGCTCATGCGATGGTCGCCCAACACTGATCTTCTAGCTATTGCTAATGCCAAAGGTCTTTTGTTCTTTCCTTCAAATTGATTCAAGTAAGAAATATTTGTATGTAAAACTGAAATAAACAATTAAAAATGATTTTAGGCGAACTGTCATTGCATCGTCTAACTTGGCAGCGTGTCTGGCTTCTGTCAGCCCCGGAAGATGGAGAAAAAATTAAAAATCTAGCCTGGCGACCCGATGGCAAACTCATTGCTGTTGTATACACCAATTCAAAAACTCTCTGTATGATTGACATAGAAAACAAAAATATTGTCCACAAAATACCGCTAACTCAAGAACAAGTGCAATGCTCTTGCATGGCTTGGCTGTCCCTTTCACCACCAATGGAAACAAAAGATGAACTCAAACAGAATAATCCTGCTTCCTGTACTGGTGAATATTTGCCTCCTTTGCCAAATTTAAGCAGAAGCTATGGCCAAGAACCAGAAAGAAAAGAATTCACTTCTCAAATGCTTGACATGCTATTTGTGAGTTATACAATTTTTCTTACACTTTCTTATATTTCAAGTTCTTATTTCATATTTTTTTTTGCAGCTTGGTCAAGAAAATGGCAGTATTCTAATGTATATATTTGGAATGTTTTATTGTGGTATGATTAAAATTGGCGAGGGACCTATAATGGAAATAAATGGTGGTGGTGGCAAAGCTCTCTGGGCCAGTTGGAAAAATAGTGAATGCATAGTTGTTGTACAGTTATCAAGTACTATTTTACAAAATAGTAATGCTTTTTTGAATGTAAGTATATTTCTCTACAAGAGTAATTTTTTATTTTTCAAATTCAATAGTATCTATAAATTCTTTTTGTTCTATAATTTCTTATCTGTAGTTTATTTTTCTTTACAGTTAGCTAAACTCCAAGCACATATGGAATGTTTAAAAGATTATTTATCTAAATCAATCAATGCTTTGTCAGAAGCTTGGGAAACTATACTTTTGGAAATGGATGAAAAAATAGCAAAATATGCTGCTGATAAAGCACCTGGCAGTGTTGCGGCAGATTTTTTAGAACTATTAATGATTGGAGTACCAAGTCCAGATTTAAAAAATTTTTTGTTGCGTGATCTGACTGAGAAAGGATTAAAGAAATTAGGAAACAGTATAGATATGTGCTACAGTAATATTCAAGTAATACTAATGTCATAAATATTTTTTTAATCATAAACTTGTAAATAAAAATGTTATTTATAATTTTAGAAATTGGCTCTCAAAAGTCTGAGTAGTGTTGGAATGGCCCTTACTTATCATTTATCTGAAATGAAAGGAATGGTAAGGTTCGGAGGTCCATACGAAGCTCTTGGACTGAAAGAAGAAACACCAATTACCAATGCTCTGAGTGCAGTGCAATCATTCTTAGCAAAAACATCAGAGGTGCAACAAGTCATTGATCACAGCATGCGCGATTATAGAGCTTTTATAACGTAATTGATCCTTAATTTTTTCATTTTTTAAACCAGGGTATGACAAGACAAAAAAATTAATCAAATTTTATTCTTATAGGTGGCTATATACAATCATTCTCAGACTGAATGACGAACGAGTTCCTTCTGAAATGAGCAAAATTAGTCAACAAGATTTAACTTATATTGCAGAATATCTAAGAGGATTCGATAAAGTAGAAGAAACTGCAAGCAGAAGAAAAGGTGTTAATTTAGAAAAATTAGGACAATATTTGAGGCAAGATCCTCTTCAAACATGTTTTAGTCCAGAAGGCAGTGAGTGGGCTTCTATGCTTGTAGAAAATAAATGTTTGCAAAATTATCCCTTGATTATAAGGCAAGATTTCGAAGGCTCTCTTCTTCAATCTCATGATACTCTTGTTGAAGCTATAAATCAAGTTTTTGTGAATGCTTATCAAGATTTAACAAAACATTTTACTCACAGTACAATTTCATTGAAATTCGTCAGTGTTGATACTTTTTCACAAAGAGTAACAAATGATGGAAAATTGATCGTAGGAGCACCTAGCTCAGATTACAAAGTACTCCAAATTTATAGAATTAAGGCTAATAATTCAAGTGAACTAGAATTGGATAATGTTTCATACATCAATTTGTGCAATAGACAAGGTAAAATTTAGTTATTATAATTCTTTTTGGAAGATTACATTTCACTTATTTAATAAAATGATTTTGTTTCAGAATCTAATGTTCAAGCATCAGGATTTAATGGAAAATTGTCAGATCTAAAATTTTACTCACTGAATTATTTAACTTTGCTTCTCATAAATGAAATTAATAAAGAAACATCTCTGATACAACTACCTCTTGACCACTCTTTACTGAGTGATAGTAACCAACAAGCATCAATTATTAATCTAAGTGAGTTGATTGAGTCTAATTCATGTAAATCTTTTAATGATCCATTTCCAAGGTGGATAGCTGTGAGTGGGCAGAGAAAAGTTGTTGCCATTCTGAATGAAAATAAAAGAAAAATTAGAATAGTTGAAACTGAAATAGAGAACGAAGAATCAGAACATAGTAAACAAGATGTTACAGATGAAAATATGATGGACACTACAACTAGTGCCATTAATGAAAGTGGAAGTTGAATAGTGTATAGCCATTTGTATTTACTGCAAATAAGTCTGTGTTAATTTCCTTAAGAAAAATTTAGTTTATCTGAATAAATAATTTATTTTATAATCTATTTACATAATTTTGTAGTTAATTATAATTACATGTTTCACATACTTTACCAGTAAGATGCTATCCTTTCTCTACGATTTATTAGTTTATTTTACAGTTCTAACACTACAGTATCATTTCTTGAAAATATTTACAATAATTAATTAACTTTTTAGAAAATTTTAACTTAGTTGAGCGTCTTTTTGTACAAAATTTTCCCAGCAACATTTACATCTAATATTATATGTACAAAACAAGTTTTGATTAAAAATTCACTTTTAAAAGTTTAATATTTAATGTAAAAAAATATCATGTTCTTGACTTGAATATTAGTTACATTTATGAATTCACTCATAAAGGTAAATTTGGACTTTTTGACGAAGGAGGAAAGGCTTTTGAAAAGTCAACTTCCAAGCCCATGTTATCAATGCCTCCAGTAGATTCCAATGATCTTGATGGACCTAAGGGTGCACTTATATTAGGTATGTATTTTGCAGGAGAATTTTCTCTAGATTCCTCCATCACTCCTGAATAATTTAAAAGTAATTATCAATATTCATTAAAGATGAACATTTTTTAGATTTTACTTATATCTTACCAAATACATTTTGAGATCTTCTCTTTTTCATCATAATAACTAGAAGTGTTATGGCTATTCCCACAAAGAGAATCATAACTACAAACAAACCTAGTAATAAATTAGTCTGAAAAAAAATTAATTTAAATGAAATTATGATTTCAAATTCAATTATATTTAAATAATAAATAAATACCTCAAAAGAGCTTGCTTTCAGACTTTGAGGATTGCGCACAATCAATTCAACGACATGAATTTTGATCGCTGAATTATCTTCTATACCTCTTGCTACACATTTATAAAAACCAGCTTCAGCTGTTGACACACCCTTCAAAATAATGTACATTAAAAAATTCTATTTTTTTGATTCTAAGTGATAAATATAAAGTCAACTAATAATACCTTTATCATTAATTTTCCAGTCAGAACTTCATAATTATATTTACTTTCATCTAAAGCGTTTCCAGGGCCAATAATTACATCATCAGTAACTTGCCAAAACATAAATCTATGATTATCATCACTGCTTAAGCATGGTAATTCAGCTAGGTTTCCAGCGTGAACTTCTGTTACTGAAACAGAAGCTTCCACTACACCCCTAAGACATACACTGATGCAAAGCAATGCAAAAAACATATTGAATAACATCTGCAAGAAAAATTCATTCAGCTTTGATAAGAGCAGTTTTGAAATTTTCATAATTTTCATATAACTAATCAACATTGTTTTCAATAACACAAAATTATTTTTAACTGGTTAATTTTTAATCATTAAAAATAAAAATAACAAAATATTTGAGCAAAGAAAGCAACAACAACCTTCTGTAAGTTTATGCAAGATGGCACTGACTTGTTTTGATTAAAAAAAAGAACTATATTTAAGTTATTAGTTAAATTACCTTGTGTCTACTTAATTTATCTATGAAACGCAGAATTTTCACAGTGTCAGGATTGTCCATTTACAATTATTTATAAACAATTTGCTACAAATGAGAATTAAAAAAAAAAAGCAAGAGCACTTTCAGTAGATACACTAAAACACTAATGGTAGAAGTTTCATTAACCGAGAACTTGCTTTTACTTATTTATATCTCTGCTCTATTCATCCTTGGCTCATGAAGATTATTAATAGATTAGGCAGTCTCCCGCTTCAAGCATAGGTGTACATGAGCACCGACTGAAGTTTGGCCACTAACTGAGGCATTTAGAATTATTTTCTCAAACTATTCAAGTATACCGTAACAATTATCACTTATATAAGGTACATTTCCAGAAGTAAAATATATTACTCTGCGGTGACAAATGTTTTTTAACAATGTATAGACAAAATGCCATTAGACACATGCCAGTTTATCTGGTATTGACAGAACAGGTGTTTGCATTTTCATTTGCTCGTTCGAGATAATGTAAATAGGTAAAACTATTATTTAAAATGTTAAAAAAAAAATTAACTCAAATATGCTATATCAAGAGTCAAAAATCTTAAATTTAATCAATAAAAAATAAGATAAAAATATTCAATTATTTGCTATTATAATGACTAACCATTCTTGGCTCGTTCTTGTCATTTCAATTGTTTGTTTTAATAAACCCCTCCCCCTTAGTATCTGGAGTAGCGCACGAGATTGAGAAAGACGTCGACGGAGAATGCGGCGAAGAGGGCCCAGAAAGGCGCCAGCACGGCCTTGGCCGGCAGGGTCCACTGCAGAGTCTCTAGCTTCAGGCAGACGAGTATCTGCGCGCTCAACTTGATGAGCACGGCAATCATGTACCATACCTATAAATGCATCAACAAACAGAACAAAACAGAAAAAAAAGAAACATCAGCCCATTATGTCGTTGTCGGAGCTCTAGTGTCGCGCAAAATAATTAAGATAAACGTCGCGGCGAATAGGTGTCAAGTTTTGTTGCTGCTCGCGCGTTACGAGCATAATATATCTATATACCTATAGGTATATTCGTAACGCGAAATTGCTGATAAATTTTGTCTCGAAAAATAAAAAAAAAATAAGAGCCAACGAGCAGCGGCGACTCACCGTCCGGCGAATGCTAACGGCTCGCTCGTGGGTGTTCTTGCAGGAGAGTATCATGTGAAATGCGATGTAGACGAGGAGAATGTTGTCGTAGAGCCACATCGGTATGAAGACGATGAACCAGTTCCATTGTATCCTGTGGTCGAGCCTCAGCACGAGCAGTATCAGGAATATCAGCAGATTGAACCAGGTGAACAGAGCTCGGTGCAGCACAGCCATCGGAGATGCAGCTAGACGCCTGGATTCATCGGGGAAATAATAATGGTCACACTCGTCGAGCGATTATAACCTAGAAAATTTGCGCGATGCGGTTCGCGAATCGCCAACAATAACACTGACTGCTGGCGATATAGTGTATATATAGAGTGACACGAATCTTGCTGTATGTGGTATGTGTGCGTGTGTGTGTGTGTAAATATAGGAGCTTTAAAATTTAAATACCCTCGTGATACGTTGCGAGCGAGGATGGAATATTTGGAATAACTCATGAAATAATGAAACTTTTATTTGTAAAAAAACATTCGATTTAATTAATTAACTATAGTCTATCGAGTACAAAAATTAGCAAAAAAAAAAAAAAAAATCACACACATCTTCTCAATCGTATATCAGCGGATGACAGACTTCGTACTTGGTCGACGTGCGATTGCGATTCTTCGTGAAGTTGCAGCCGAAAGCCTGCTTGAACTCGATCATGTTGTCGACCGCGTAATCGATGAAGTACTGCGGCGGTATCTCGTTGCTCTGGAGCTGGGCTCGGCACATCGACTGCGGCAAATGCACAAGGGACGATTTTATAATTTGTTTCTTCTTAATTTGTTGATCAAAATTTTATAAAAAATAAAAAATACCTCCGCGAACGAGAGGAAAAAGAGTCGGAAGTCCGTGAGGGTACCGAAGTTTCTGAACTGTATCGGGTACGAGTCCTTGGTGGGCCATGCCCTGTAGGCGGTCTGCAGTCCCAGAAGATAGGCCGTGAATCTCTGCACGAATTCTTCGTGCTGCAAAAAAGTTAATTTTCAATAAAGTAGGGTCTATTCGCTCGCATACGTCGAAAATGATTATCATTATTATACCTTCAATTTGTACGAGTTTTTAGGGACCTGAGCCGCGATGCATTTGGTGGCGTTTTGAGCGTAGGATATTCGATCTGAAAATAATAATCCAGTATAATTTTTTTTCTTTCTTTTTATTGACATTGGCCGTATTAATCAAGCGCGGAGATAGTATAGAGACATACTCAGCCACAGCAGGTAGAGCTCCGAGGCTATCGTCGCACCAGCTGCTCCGTAATTGATGGGGCTAAAAATAATGCGTTTGTGTACATGTCTCTTGTAAAGGCAATTCAAAAATACAAAAAAAAAAAAAAATTGGCCATTGTATCGTCACGGCCAAATCGAAAGGTCGCTCGTCGCGTTTATCGATGCGGTATTGCACTTACTCGAACAACTGAGCGCTGAGAAACTTGTAGGAGGTTTCGCTGAACAATCGGGCTGGCAGTACTGTAAATGGAAAAAAAGGTCGTGAGATGATGTAAAAGAGTGCGTGTAATTTCTTTGCAATACTTACCTATCTGTCTGAGGTTCCTCGAGAATTCGATTCTCTCCAGCATGAATGATTTGTAAAACGTGTTCATGCTAGGTCAAAAACAAAACGAAAAATGTGTATAATCTAATTAATTGAGAGCTATATTATAGTTTACTCACTCGAAAATCGGCACGTCGTACTCGTACAGAGCTCGCAGCTTGTTCCTCAGCAGAATCTCGACGAACTTCAATTGATTGGCGAAGTAGAGCTGACTGATCGGGAACTGCGCAAAATATATGAACACGATTCAGTAATTGGACGTAAAAAATGGATAAAAATTAAAAAAGGACACAACTCACGGGTCTGCCGTAAAACTTGGAAGCGATCGTTCGATTGGCCAGCCAGTCGGGATAGCCGATCACGGCCTCGGCCCGACCGAGCTGCCGCAGATAATTCCTCGTCAGCTCCGAGCCGTCCTGCAGATTGTACTCCTCGCTCAGCTGCTTGTCGATGAGATTCTTGATCGAGCCGAACATCGCCTCGACCTGTCGGACATTTTTTTTATCGTAAAAAACATCGGACGCGTTTCAGGAAGTAATTTTTCTCGAAAGCATTTTAATGAAGCGCGTGCGAATTTCTACATTCTAGACGTGGCTCGTATAGTTCCCTTATTCCGAAAGGCGTAAAAATAGACGGGAAATGTTTTCTCGAGAACTCGGCAGACTGTGATGTATAAGGCGAGAAATAGCAAAACCGTTTCTATTCGTAAACTGCGCGAAATAAGAACTAGGGTGAATTTTTCTGGACTCACAGTTTAACTTTGCACGAATTCGTGTCGGGAGAGAGCTAAAAAAAAAGATTGCCCTTATTCGTGGCCCCGACAGCTCGAATTTCATCATCGAGCGTATAATCCGCGTTCGGATTACGGTATACAAAACTTACGGTCTCCTTATTGTCTTTCGGGAAATGCCTCTGAACGTACACGTGCGCCGCGCCGACCAGCAAACCCGGAGTGCACGCCAAGCTGCAAAGCAAAAACGTCATTTTATTCGTTAACGCAACGAACACGTGGTCCTATAATTGTAACAAGTTTTGACACGAGATACGTACCCTTTGACCGGCGGTATAACCGCGTACTTGGACTCGTACTCCTTTTCCACGAAGCCGATCGTCTTCGACACGAACCTCAAGTGGATGTAGTTAACTGAGAAAACAGATCGGTTAGAAAAATAAATATAGATACACAGACGCAGCGATCGAGAAGGGAATTACCAACCGATCGTGTTGACGTCGCGAGTGAGCTTCAAAAGCTCGGCCAATCGAAAGAAGTAATTCTCGTGCTTAATGATGATCAAGTCGTGGTCGTAGACGTTGACGCTGATCTTTCCGAGCAGCTCTTTGAAAATGTTCAACCAATTGATCTGTGATAAAAAAATTTTTAAATGTTATATAAATAAAGTGCGAAGAATAAACAAGTTTACAGGTAGAATATGAATGTCGAAGTATACCTTAGAGAGAGGATCGTGAGAATATTCATTGTATATGCGTTGCCAGTTTTCGATGGTCTTCGGCTCGGGACGTCGTTCGTTGACTTCTTCATTGTTGTCGTAAGGGACGATCTGCGTAAGTAAAAAAAATCGTTTCGAGTTTACTTTATAATTAGAAAAAGCTGCTAGAGACCAAAATTACATACCTTATTGAATTCTCTGATGAAGTCCTTGATATCGCTGTACTTTTTCAGCGGCGGTACGAAATTAGGATCGTTGTTGTTGGGATGATGGTCGTAAATCGGCCGTCGATCCAGCTCGTGCTTCATGTACTTGGCAGTCAGCAGATCGTTCAAGTCCAAGACATTGTCGGCCGTCGGCCTCAACTATATACACACAAAACACAACATCGAAGCTCCAAAACTCGTGCCAAAAAGAATATCAACTATCCTCCACCCACCTGCAGGTATCGCTTGACGTGCACGAACGGCTGGCGGCGCTCGATCACGTCCACCTCGAAGAAGGCGAAGCCGAAGCCGCCGAGGGCGTATCGGAGATCGGTGCGCGACCAGTGCTGCTGCTCGGCCTGGAGCGGATCGTACTGGACGTTGGCCTCCAGTCGATTGGCCTGATTGCGCGCGAGCAGCTGCTCGTAGTGCAGCCTCTCCTGGCGCGTGTGCACGCCCCGCTTGCAGATCTCGTAGATCTGCCGCTCGACCCGCAGCGAGTCCACGTTGAGGTCGCCTACGTCGGGGTCGTCGTCCTGCAGCGGCTCGTCGAGTATCTCTGCGACGTTTATTCGGATATTTATTCGGATACATATGATTCGTATGTGTTGTTTCTCTCTCTGTATACGTACTGCGCAAATCGGTGAAATCGTAAATGACACGATCGGCGGCACGGCGCGGATCGGCCGGGCTCACCGAGGAGCTCGTCCTCGCGCCCCGCGCCATGAAGTCGCGCTCGAGCTCGCCCAGGCCCTTGGCGCAGGCGAAGCCGTAGAAGTTGCCGCACGGCTCGACGTCCGGGTCGACGTTGGCCACGAGGATCTCGTCGATGGGCGCGCACTGCGGCCGATCGCACTGGTCCACGTCCGGCTGCAGCACGTAGCTCGCCGAGCACCAGCCGAGCAGCGGCAGCAGCAGCAAAAGCAGACGCGATGACATGTCTTCTGTCCTTGTTTTTGTGTATTTACACTCGAAGCAGAGTCGTCTGCAATCGAGAACGTATATTTTTTACGATATACAAACACTCGCGCGGCCGTCAAATTATTATATCTCGTATAGGCAGCAGCAGCAGTTGTGCTCCAGTGCGCGCGATCCACGCTGCTCGATACTGAAGTGCGCATTTATTATGATACGCCACGCTTCTACGGTCGCATCTTCGCGGCACATCTACGTAGATTCGATGTAATATATTTTCGCTCGTCTTATAAGTCTCTCGTTTCGCTTCTCTCGTTCTTCTCCTCCGTTTGTACGCACGAGTTTATAAATCTCGGTTCCCTCGTTTCCCAGCGAAATGTACATACGATATATATTTATAAACTTGCGTCGCGAGCCTATATACGATATTTTTACTCGTTGCGTAAGCCGAGTACGCGCGCGAGATTTTACGCGGGCTTTCTAGACATTATACGCTTGTATATATACTATAGATGCGAGTGTGCCGGTGAGGTCAAAGGTTGTGCATGCGACTGCACCAACAACTTTAATAAATATGTTATACGGGAGTACTCGAAAAAAAAATTCAAGTAGGATTTTCGAATTTTCGTTCCGGTCATAATTATAGGGGGGGTTTTAATTGTATTTCAAACCCCAAAAGTCCAATTGATTTGAAATTTATGTTCGGAAAAGTTTTTAAAGTTGTCAAAAAAAGCTCAAAATGTTCAAAATTGTCGATTTCCCACCAGTTTTCCTCGCGCAGTCTTGACATTTGCAAATTGACATTTTACGTAAAACTTACATTTGTCTCGTGATCGAACGAAGAGTTTTTCTATTATGAAATCAAAAGTGTAAAAAATGCTCATAATCTGAATCGCATTCGTTTAAAATCTTGTCAAATCTTTGAATTACATCTTTTTGCCTTCGCCCAATCGAGAGCTACGGGTACGAATTTTTAGAAAAATGCCAACTCTTAGATTTCAGATTATTCTACATTGAAATATTCTGTCCCGATTAAAACTGGTAAAAATTGACAATTTTATAAATTTCAAATCAATCCGACTTTTGGTTTATGAAATATAATTTATAAAAAAAAAGTTTTCTCACAAAGCTATGTAATTCCTCAAGAAATAAATAAAAATCATTCTTGGATCATAACTGTACGTAACGCAAGGAAATATTCCCTTTGTGCCTACACGCGAGATGTGTATGTATGGTAAACTGTAGTGTGTTTATAGATCGAGGTTTGCGATCGAATTAGTCAGTATAGTCAGTATAGTCAGTACGGTCGTTTCTCATCTTACAGGTATTATTTGGTAAATAGTCAAGATTCAAATTAAATTACACATTAAATTAAAAATCACTCACTTTACAGAGGCAACACAAAGCGATCGATAAGACCGCAACACATTTACGTACTCGTTGTACGTATACCATAGTAGTTTACAAAAACGTATAGATAGGCGCGTTCGCACGCCTACGCCTATAACCGCGTCCATACAGCTGTCATTGTATCGATGCCTATTATTATACGCGCGAGGGACCGTCACCACGCAGCGCGTATACTACGACTCTCTTCGGATTTTCAATGTAGCCGAATTTTTAACGAAACCTTCTAACCATTTGGCGCTGCGTCTCTTGTACACGGGGTTACACGTGTTCCAAACTCTACATAACGTATATGTAATGTCCGTACACGTTTAGACGCTGTAGCAGCTTATCAAAAGAGCAGCACATGCTCGACTGCAACGAGTGATTTTCGTGAAAAAAAAAAAAACAGTGAAAAATTTATAACGATTGTGTATCGTGTGTTAGTATATCTGTGTCTGTGTGTGTTCGAGGACAAGTGCAAAATGAGCAGCGACGTCTCCAGCGACGGCTATAGCGACGACGAGTTCGATCGCGACTACGAGAGCAACGTAGACGAGAGCAGCTGCTTGGACCATTTCACGGCCGACGAAAACGACGACGACGACGACGACGACTACTCCAGCGCCTATGACGAGGACGACGAATCCGACGATAAAGACATCGACGATAAAGACATCGACGATAAAATCATCGCCGACGTGAAACCCAAATACCTCGAACGCAGAAAAGGCAAGTTGAAGAGCTTGCGAGAGCAGGTAAAAAATTGGGACTCCGAGAAGGAGCGACTCCGACTTGTACGTCGGCTCGGCCGTACCGTCGACAATTGGTTCAAGATAATGCCGAGTCTCCGCGGCGTCTTCAAGCGCGAGGACGAGGTCGAGCGTCTTCTCTTCGACGCGGTGAAATCGTTGATCGCCGACGACGAGGGCAGCCGCAACTACATCGCCGGCGTGCGATTCGTCGAGTACGCGGCTAGCGCGCGCTACAGGTTCCGGTCGTTCTCGCGGCAACGCGCCACCCCTATACATCGTTTGATCGGCTTCGGCGATCGTCTGGCCTACCGCGCAGTGGTCGGCCAGCTCTTCAAAATATACAGCGAGGACAAAGTGAACTACGTCGACGAGTCCGACGGTCTCACGCATCTTCACGTGGCCTGCGAGCTCGGCCTGGAGACCCAAGTCCAGAATTACCTCAAGTGCCGGCCCCAGGACGTCGACTGCGTCTGGCGCAAGACGGGCGACACGCCCCTTCATCTCGCCCTGGCTCGAGACCACAAGCAGGTGATCGAGATGCTGTTGGAGCGTAATGCCGATTTGACTCTGGCCAATAACGCGGGCCAGACGGCTCTGCACCTGTTCAGCCAGAAGCTGCACGACGACGAGCTGACTCGGCTGTACCAGAACGTCGTGGAGGACAACGATCGGCCGATCCCGGTGAATGCCAAGGACAAGCTGGGCAATGCGCCGCTGCACCTGACCCTGACCCACGGTCACCGCTATCTGAGCAGAATGCTGCTGAAGCGCGGTGCCGATCCGGAACTGGCCAACGCCGAGGGCCAGACGGCGCTGCACGTCATCTGCAAGCGTCAGCCCAACCGCGACGACGATGACGGCCTCGCGGATATGCTCTTCCGGATCTGCGCCGAGCTCGGCAAACCGCTGCGCGTCGACGCCCAAGACCATCGGGGCAACGGTCCGCTCCATCTCGCCCTGGAGCACGGCAACGAGCGCCTGGTGCCGTTACTGCTGGACAGAGGCGCCAATCCCAATCTGGCCAACGAGGCGGGCGAGACGCCTCTGCACTTGATCGGCCGCGGGAGCGCCAACTTCGTCAATCTGTTCTTCGAGCTGAGCAAGTGGAAGCACTGGGTGGTGGAGGAGAATCCCCGCGACGAGCGGGGCAACACCCCCTTTCATTTGGCGCTGTGCTACGGCAAGCGCAAGGCTGCGGTGCTGCTGCTGAGACGCGGCAGCTCGCCGTATCTGGCCAACGGCGAGGGTCTGACGCCGCTGCACCTGATCTGCGCCAACGGCTACGACGTCGACGATCTGCTCAAGGTGTTCCTCAGGATCTGCGACGAGCTGGCGACGAAGACGAATCAGCCAATGTGCATTGACCCACGCGATAGAGAGGGTAACACGCCGCTGCACCTGGCCCTGAAGTACAACGGGGACGTCTGGGACGCGAAGAAGCTGATCCAATTGCTGCTCGATAGAGGCGCGGATCCCAGCGCGGCTAATAACGACGGATCGACGCCTCTGCACTTTATCTGTCGGACCTATCGTCACAACGACTTGCTCGAGATATTCCTCGTGATGGTCGACGAGAAGAATCGGTTGCTGGACATCGACGCTAGAGACGAGTGGGGCGACACGCCGCTGAACTTGGCGCTGCGCTGCGGGAACACGACGGAGGCTAAGTTGCTGTTGTCGAGAGGAGCCGATCCCACGGTGGTGGACTCGCGGGGCTCGACTCCTCTGCACTCGATCTGCGGTAGCGACTACGACCGAAGCGACGTGGTGGAACTCATGTTCGAGGTCTGCCAGCGAACGTATAACCGGACTCTGGAGGTGAACACAAGAGACGGGGAAGGCAAGGTGGCGCTGAACTTGGCGCTGGAAAGAGGCAACGCGAGTATAGCCGAGCTGCTTCTTCGCAAAGGGGCCGATCCGAGCTTGGGCCCGACGACGGCTCTGCACGCGATCTGCCGGGAGCGCAGGTACCTCGACCTTCTCGGCGCATTGGACCGGTCGATCGTTCGACTGGTGCGCGCCGATCCGAGGGACGAGTCGGGCAACGCACCGCTGCACCTGGCCGTGCTCGACGCCAACGACGTCGCGGCCGAGTGGCTGCTCCGTAACGGGGCCGATCCGAATCTGGTCAACCGGGCCGGGGACGCTCCGCTGCACGTCATCTGCAGGCAGGAGCAGTGCCACGCGGGTGGCTTGGCCCGGATGTTCTTCAGGGTCTGCAGGCAAGTCGGTCGAGACGTGCTGCTGGATGTTGGAGACGAGCGAGGCGATGCACCGCTGCATCTGGCTCTGCGCCACGAGAACGAGGAGGTGGCGGAGCTGCTGTTGAAGAGAGGGGCCGATTCGTCGAGGCCCGACTCGGAGGGATCGTATCCGCTGCACTCGATTTGTAAGAGGATCCACGGCGAAGGTTTGAGGAAGCTACTCTTATATATCGATCGGGCGGTCCCGGTCGATGTCCGCGACAAGGACGGCAATACACCGCTGCATCTGGCTGTATTCCACGAGAAAACGACGATGGTCGAGCTGCTTCTTCGCCAGGGCGCCGATCCGAGTATAGTCGACGCGGAGGGTCGGACGGCTCTGCACATCGCCAGTACGAGAGAACATTGCGACGACGAGTTGGCCAAGACGCTGCTCGAGATCGGTCGCGAGTTGGGTCGAGAGGTGCCGATCGACGCCCTGGACTCGCGGGGCAAGACGGCGCTGCATCTCGCAGTGGAGAGGAAACGTCGACCGCTGCTGAGATTACTGCTGATGCAGGGCGCCGACCCGAACGCGGCCAAGGCCGACGGCTCGAGACCTCTGCACATGCTCAGTCGCTGCGACGACCCAGACCTGGCCGAGACACTGTTCGAGTGCAGCAGCAGCGCGAGGCGAGGCGGAAAGCGGCTGGACATGGACGCCCGGGACAAGAAGAGGGGCGACACGGCGCTCCACCTGGCTCTGAGGCGGGAGTGCAAGACGATGGTCCTGCTGCTGCTGGACAGAGGAGCCGCGCTGAATCTCGCCAACGAGGAGGGCTCGACCGTGCTGCACTTGATCTGCCGCAAGTACCACTGCGAGGACTTGCTGCTGGAGTATCTGCTGGTGATCGGCAAGCCGTGGCAACGACCTTTGCCCATCGACGCCCGCGACAGGACGAGGCAGAACACGGCGTTGCACTACGCGCTTGCCCTGGACCACAGGCAGGCCGCGAGGATACTGATCAGTCGAGGCGCCGATCCCAACGTGGCCAACGCCGAGGGTTGGACGGCGCTGCACGACCTCTGCCAGAGATACCACGACGACGCGCTGCTGGACGACTTTCTGGCGATCGCGAGCGCGAACGAGGCTCGGCGGGGCGGCGGCTGCTGGCCCTGGCCGGCGGTGAACGCCCGGGACAAGTTGGGCCGGGCGCCGTTGCACCTCGTGCCGGACTACGGCCACGCGGACTTGATCAAGTGGCTGCTGAAGCGGGGCGCGGATCCGAGTCGGATCGACGACGCGACGGGACTGACGCCGGTGAACGTCTTCTGCAAGAGATACGACGACGAGTGCGATTCGACGCATAAATATAAATCGTTGGAAGTCGACGCGCGTGACGAGAGGACGGGCGACACGAGACTGCACCGGGCTCTGAGGCAGGGCAACGAGCGGGTGGCCGAGCTGCTGCTCGTCTACGGGGCCGATCCGAACCCGGCCAACAAGGAAGGATCGACGCCTCTGCACGTCATCGCCGAGAGAGAGCTCAGCTCCGAGCTGGGCAGTATGTTTTTCCAGCTGAGCCACGAGAGACGTGTACAAGCGCGCATCGACTCGCGCGACAGCAGGGGTAACACTCCGCTGCACCTGGCCCTGAGACTGGGCCGGCACATGATGGAGGACAACGTGGCCCAGGAGCTGCTCATCTACGGGGCCGATCCGAATCTGGCCAACGACGAGGGCCGGACGGCTCTGCACGCGATCTGCCAGCGAGACGGGGACGTGGCGGACTTTGCCAACGGATTCTTCCAGTTGTGCGCGGAGACGCGTCGACAGGTGCGGATAGACGCGCCCGACAGCGGGGGCATGACGGCGTTGCACTTGGCCGTGCTCAACGGTGACAAGAGCCTGACCGAGACGCTACTGAGACGCGGGGCGGAGCCGAGTCTGGCCGACAACGAGGGCCAGACGGCTCTGCACATCGGCTGCGCGAGAGACCCCGACGGCGATCGCGTGGCATCGTTCCTCGGGATGTGCGAGTCGCTCGAGCGGACGGTGGGAATTATCGACGCCCGAGACGCCAAGGGCAACACGCCGCTGCACTTGGCTCTGCGGTCGGGCAACGACAGGCTGGCGCAGATACTGGTGAACAGAGGCGCGAATCCGAATCTGGCCAACGAGGCGGGAGAGACCCCGCTGCACGTCATCTGCCGGTCGTACGCGGACGACGGCACGATAGACGTCTTCTTGCAGAGTTGCGCCGCGAAGGACAGACCGGTGCTGATCGACGCCCGGGACGGTCGAGGTCGTACGCCCCTGCAGTGGGCCGTGGCCAACTTGCTGCCCGGCGCCGTCGATCTCCTCCTGAAACGGGGCGCCGATCTGTCGACGTTCGTCTTCCCCACCGAGGACTACTTCGGCAGGAGATTCGAGCGGGGTGCAAGATACAGGCCCGAGATGAAATTGGCGATGATGGCTCACGCCCTGGTCGTGGTCGAGCGTCTGAAGAAACGAGGCCACCAGCTGGGCCTCGACAACGATCTCGTCGACGATCTCGTCGTCGTCAAGTTCTTCGCGACCCACCAACTGTGCCAGAGACCGAGCCCGGATGGCCTCGTACGCGCACGCGAGGACTTGTACTACCTGAAGAGGATCGAGATGAAGCCGAAGATGTCGCTGCTCCAGGTCGTCGTATGCCGGACACCGCGCGAGGCCAAGACGAGGCTGGGGCTCACGACCGAGGACTACTACGAGTTCGTCCGGGCGAATAAATGGGCCCTAGCCCGTGAGGACCTCAGGGCCGATTGCGCCCTGCATCTGTGCGAGCTCATGGCCAGGGAGTTCTGCTGGGAAGGCGCGATCGAAGCGTTCCTGGAGCTGACGCGTTACAAGCTGCCGGTCGAATGCTGCCACATGATCGTCGACGACACGTTAGAGAACGAGAGACTGTGTAACATCTGTTTGGCCGCGGCTCTAAATGCGGCTCGAAACGATGCTGCGTGATGGATATATCTATCGTAGATTCGGTGCGTCGATTCGGCCTCTGAAGATTTATTCGTATTTAATTATTGATATTTATTTTCGTTCGAATAAATGAGTTTAAAAAATGAGCATCGATTTTTCTATTTATAAACACACGATCAGAAGAGCTCGAATTGTACATCGAGGGGCATTGCTGAAGATGATGGTGTCTTCGATACGACATTACGAGATTAAAGTTTAATTTCGTTCATTTTTAGACCAATAAATTTAAGTGATAATGATCTCATGATGATCTTGATGAGTAACAGCTGCGTTCAAGTCTTCTTAAAAGGTTGCAAACAACACCTGTACATAAAACATAGAGATTTTTGGATATAACGAAATCGAATCTCAAATGAATTCATTGTTTCTCGTTTGTATGTAGACCTGAATGTAATAAAGATGTGCAGAGCATGTATGACAAAGATGCGTTGATAAAACTCACAAGTTAAGTAATATATTAGACTACTATTTGAGAATTACAAAAAAATTTTCACATAAAGTTTACCATGTAAGAAAATCACCAAAACCACTGTCATGCTGTAGCAGCCAACCTCCAAGAAGCATCGGTAGCTGGTCTCAATGATCAACTGTTTACAAACATTCACACAGGCTAGCCTGACAAATTCAAAACCCTTGTTATTCCATTGTGTGGAAGAACACCTTTCGCATTTGGTTGATTGCTAGCACTTCCAGCAAAACTTGCGTTCTTTTAATTTCAAAAACAACTTCACTGCGCATTTACATTCACACAGGCTAGCTTGACAAATTTAAAACCCTTGTTATTCCATTGTGTGGAAGAATAATTATTAATTTGTAGTTATTCAGCCCAAAACAACTTTCTTGTAGTTTAATGTTATAATGTTGTTTTAAATATATTTTATTTTCACTTCACAAATGAATGAAACTTCACTGAAATATTCAATTATTTTTAAAGTGAATTAAAAGCTGTAAAATTCTGTAAAGTCCGGTAGAAACTCTTGGATTTAACATAATTTCACAGCTACAATATTACTGCCAATGACGTTAAATCTAAATTCCAATTTATGTATAACAAGAATAAAGATGATGTACAAACATATTTTCAATATTTTACTTATAGTATTCGTTGTAAATTGTATTTACATACATACTTGAACAGTGCCTAACAAACTATTATTTAAAACACTTCGTTTATGGTTTATGCAATGATGTTTGAACAGAATAATTATTTGATTATGATTGAATTATAAGGTGTTTTTTCTTTTCTATAGCTTCTGTAAACTTATCTTAATTATTTTATTTATTAAATGCTTTTGTTTTTAATTTTTATTTTAATTTTCTGATATTTTTTCTCTGTCACTGTTCTTTCATCTTGTAAAGACTCACTGCATGATTAACTAGAAAATTCACTGGACGATTCATTGTCTAACCGTTTGTCAGCTGATTTTACTTTTTGTTCACTATAATTATTGAACATCTTTCTGCACCTCTATTTCTATAACACCACAAATATTAAGAATATTTTACAAGTGAATAAAAATATTTATAGCCCCACTGGCTATCATGCCAATACGAGCCCCAAATTCTAATAATCTTTCTTGTGGGACAGGTTGTTAGTCACTTAAAAATAAAAAGTCTAAATCAAATCAGAAGGCAGGCTTAGGAAAGATAGATAATTTAAGTTGGAAATTTATATTTGAAATTATACGTCTTAGCAGAATGACTGACTCACGTCACCACGTGCACGCATACCAACACTGAAAAAATACGTGTAGTGCCTACAAAGCCTTTTGTTTGGCAATGCAAATACGTTGTAGAATGAGCGGATTTTTTAAATTGAAAATATGATCAATGATAAACGAATAATGTTTAAAAAAATTGTATATATTTATAATATTTTTCCCAACATTAAGGGCTCTCTATACACACGTCTCAATTGGTAACGCTAGGTTACCATCCTATTTATGCTTTTGAAAAATTGGAAATGTTATTCGCAAATAATCGAGTTGACGCACATTTCTAATACACTCATTAACATTGTGGTCGAGTTTTATCCAATTCCATGCATTATTCAAGGAAAAAAAGAAAACTACGAATAATCATAACCTATTAAATACCATTGATCATGATTATTCGTAGTTTTCTTTTTTTCCTTGAATAATGCATGGAATTGGATAAAACTCGACCACAATGTTAATGAGTGTATTAGAAATGTGCGTCAACTCGATTATTTGCGAATAACATTTCCAATTTTTCAAATTTAGCATAAATAGGATGGTAGCCTAGCTTTACCGACTGAGTGTGTATACAGAGCCCTTAAGGCTCCTCTATACAGCGGGACAAATACCGACATACCGATATTATTTTGTACCCATTTTTTTTATTCTCTAGACAACCGTTGAACTTGAAACTTCGTGGGAGTGATAATGAAACTTATAAAAATGTGCCTCTGGCGCCAGTTTTCAATAAAATGTCGAATGAAATCATTTTAACTAATTGTTTGAGAATACGTTACTTTTTAGGTTATAAAGGGGGGATAATACAAAATCAAGATTCTATGAAAGTACCGGTCATTTAATTGAAAACTGGCTCCAGAGGCACATTTTTATAAGTTTCATAATCACTCCCACGAAGTTTCAAGTTCAATAGTTGACCAGAGAATAAAAAAAATGGGTACAAAATAATTACGTTCTTGTTATCGACTGAGTGTGTGTAGAGGGCCCTTAAGCTATGTTACACGTAGTACAGCTTTCATAAACTTTGGACCCATACAAATTGTATTATCTACCCATACATAAATGTAGAAAATTTTTTGAGTGTCATTAACTGGATGTTAATGATGTTAGGTTTGCCAATAATCTACTTGTACTGATTTTTGCGTGAAATCAATTTAAACATAACCATTTGACTAGTACTGAATCAGTAACAATGATTTATAATTAGATTGGATTATTAAAACAAAAGGCAACGTTCAATTTCGATAATAACTTGTAGCAAAGTATATTGGTCATCCATTGATTCTCCCGGTCATTTATTTGGGAAAGTGGTCAGTCAATATCATCTTCGTGGTGACTCATGAAATCGTCATTCCCCTCTCCCCGCCCCCCTCCTCTTCTTCCTCAAACCCCCTCTACCCTTTCTCGCTGCATATTGTATAGGCATTGAAAAGAGATAGAGAGACTGAGAAATGTTCGGTAGCGCCGCCACTTTAAGCTGCGCACAAATTTTTCAGCTCATCACTTGTAAACTGAGACAGAGTCCCATTTGTCGTTCAGACATCGTAGAGTGAAGTGTTAGTATATTACCGTATGTCAAATTGAGGAAAAGAACCCTAACCCAGACACAGTCATAACCCCAACAAGTGAGTGAAAGTGAAAGTTGTAAAATAAGTGTTCTCGTGACTATAATCTTCCTGTCGAAGTAAACGTCGCTCTATACGAACGCGCAACGAGCTATCCATCGTGCGGGAAACGGGTGCGAGTAGTACGAGTAAAGTGAAAAATTAGCACTTTCGTACGGATTAATTTACCGACTACAGAGAAAATGATGGAATTCCTAATCAATTTCTACGAGAACGCCGGAATCGTTAGCGGCAACGAAGTGCAAATGAACAGTTTGACGAGCATACGACGAAATTTTGCCGTAGAGGACGTTAATCACTCCAGCATTTGGGGCGCCGGCAATTCAACATTGCACATGATAGCCATGCACGGCAGCATGGAGGTAGCTAAACTGCAGCTGTTGAGCGGTGCTAATCCAAATTTGGCTAATGCAGAGGGTTCAACACCCTTACATCTCGTCTGCGAACGAACGAACGTCGGCGAATGGTTACAAATGTTTTTAGAACTCACCCACGACAAGTATCGGCCGCTGCAGATCAACACCCAGAATATGCTGGGCAACACAGCACTGCACTTGCTTTTGTGCTACGGTCATACGGAAGCCGCGGAGTTACTGTTGAGACTAGGCGCTGACGTAAATGTGGCCAACGTGGAGGGACAGACGTCTTTGCATTTGATTTGTAAAATCGGATACGGAGAAGACTTCATCGCGCTCTTCTTTAGTTTCTGCGACGAGACAAATCAGACGGTGGAAGTCAATGCACGTGACAGAGACGGTAACACGCCATTGCACTTGGCGTTGAGATTCGGGCTTTCGAGCGTCAAGAAAGTGACCAAATTGCTGCTGGACAGAGGCGCGAATCCCAGCGCGGCCAATAACGACGGATCCACGCCTCTACACTACATTTGCGAGAACTACCGTCACAACGATTTGCTGGAGATGTTCTTGACGAAGACCCAAGGAAAAGAACCGTTGGTAGAGATCGACGCTCGAGACAATAGAGGCGAAACACCTTTACACTTGGCCCTGCGATGTAACAACATGGCCGAGGCCAGAAAGCTTCTAACGTTGGGAGCTGATTCTACAGTGGTCGACTCGGAGCTTGCGACTCCTCTGCACCTTGTTTGCAAGAGTGACTACGACCGATGCGACATGGCCAAGCTGTTGTTTGACATGAACCGCCAAATATCGCAGATCAACGCCCGAGACAAAGAGGGAAACTTGCCACTGCACTGTGCTCTAGAAAAGGACAACATAGAGTTGTTTGAATGGCTTTTGCGAAAAGGTGCTGATCCAGGTTTAGCTAACTTCATGGGAGTTACGGCTCTGCATCACATTTGCAATAAGAAACGCGAAAAGTTCATCTTAGCGAGGAAGCTATTCGATCTCTGTCGACAGCTCAGTCACGATCAATATGGGCCACTACAAGTTAACGTTCAAGATGTGAACGGCAATACACCAATGCACTTAGCAAGTCGCCTCAATAACAAGCACATGGTCAAAGTTCTGCTGAGATACGGTGCGAAACCAAATATAGCCGGTAGAACCGGCACTACAGATCTCCATTATCTTGTGAGTCATGAACATTGCGATTACGAATTGGTAAAGTTATATTTCGAAATCAACGACGTCAAAGAGGACCCGGTGCAAGTCAATGTTCAAGACATAAATGGAAATACTCCATTGTATCTGGCGATGTCGAAGGATCACAGATACGTGGTGGAATTGCTGGTGAGGCGTGGCGCCGACCCAAATTACGTCAATAACGATGGATTGTCGGTTCTGCACTGGCTCTGCAAGAGAGCAAGCAAGAACAAACTCATCGACGATCATTTAGAGAAGCTATTTTTCCATCCAACGGACTTCAAGAGGATAGATCCAAATGCGTCCAACAAAAGAGGAATGACTCTTTTGCACGCTCACTGCGGAAAGTATAGCGAATTGACACAGATATTGTTTAAGATTATGGATGATAAGAAGATGACAGTAGATATCAACGTTCGGGACGTTGCGTGTAACACTCCATTGCACTATGCATTACGCCATGAGTGCAAAAAACCAATAATCGAGCTGCTGCTGAATCGAGGCGCAGATCCGAACGCAGCCAACATGTACAGAGAGACACCTCTGCATTGGATCTGCAAAAGAAGCTTACTTCAGCGCGACGATAAGGAAGACTTAATGGACCAATTTTTCCGATTAAACGACGAGAGAAAGCAGATCGTGCAGCTGGATATTGTGGATGCACGCGGGATGACACCGCTGCAATGGGCTGTTACTAATCTTAGACCCGATATGGTGGAGACGCTTTTGACACGAGGTGCCAATCTGGCTAACTTTACTTTTCCGAATTAGTGCTTTGCCGACAAATTTTCAGATTCGGATAGAAAGTTCGGATTGGAGATCGCTTGCGGGACTCTGGCCGTGGTCGAGCAATTAGAGAGAAGAGGTTATGCGCTAGACTTCGTCGACGCTTTGACGGTACTGGGAGTATTCTCGCAATATGAATTGTTTGGTACGCCCGAAGATTTAAACAAACGTTACGAAGAGAATTTCAAATCAATGACAGAAAATATAAGGATGAATGCGAACATATCGCTGTGGGAACTGTTCCAGGAGCGATCCAGCGAATTGGAACATCTAGTGACATTCACGGAGTTATTCAAGCTCTGGCGTGGATCCGGGAACCAGTGGATCCCATATACAAAACTCCTGTGCGAGATTATGTCGAGAAGATTTTTCCTACGCTGGACACTTGCTTGTGTGAACAAGAAGTGGAACAAGAGTATGAACGTACAGCTGCCGACGAAGGACTGTTCAATGATGAACGAAGATTTATTTGCTTTATTCTTTACAATAATGCTTGAGTCAAAAGAAGAATAAAAGATTATACAATGAAGTGAATTATAAAAAAATATTCGATATAAAATATTCGATACACTAAAAGTTTTCTTTCGTATTCTTGTTTGAAAAGTAATAAAAAAACTTTTACTCATTAATCGATCAAGTAGTCTTTATTGTGACCTAATTCCTATCAAATGAATCCACATTGTTGTATTTAGTGTATTAAGTCTCAATTGCAATAATTACAATATTTCAATGCATAGTATTTTTGTGATATAAAGTGCAGTTTCAAGAAAATCAATGATCAAATTTTACATCTATCTATTCTATTCTATTTCTATCCTCACTTAAGGAGGTACCTCCGTCGAACAATTACAAAACGGAATCAAACCAAATTATGCAGACATGCTCATTTTTATAATAGGAATGTACTGTGAAAATTTGGTGTAATTTCACTACTTAGTTTAAGAGATATGAGTAAAACATTTTAACATTGTTTCCGATGCAAATGGCGATAGTTTTGGCATATCTCATAATTTACAAAACGGATTTGCGTGAAATTTTTTGAGCCCTTCTATGAACTATCACAGTACCTCGTGTTAAAGTTTTGTAAACTTTCACTACATGAGTAGTGTGTAATTAATTGAAAACTATGTACGAATGCACATTCTAGTGATTTTCAGTGGAAATCTCGAGCGACGGTAAACGAGCGACATAACCTGCATACAAAAGCTAATCAATGTAGTATGCGATTTGCGAACAACGAGCAGACGGGCCTGCCTAGGAACTTTTTTAGTTGGGTTAGTTCTAGTTACTTCTACCATACGAGCGACTACGAGAACTTGACTAGAGTAGTAGTCGGAGGTTCGGAGGTTATCGGAGGTTACCTCCTTAAAATAATGATGGACCTGAAAGTGAAGCCAATCTATTCGGCCTCTGATTGGTCGACTGACTTTTGACTCGAGTCGAAACTCGAAACGTAATAAAGTGACATCTACGGTCAAAATAGCAACTTTTTCGAAACTGACTAAAAAATGTACGCGCGCGAAGCGCGCCTGTCGCCTGAAAGTTGCTAGTATTCTACACGCTTCGTGCCGTTAAACGTATACTTACTCCCAACTTGAATTATCTTTCTAGAGCCTGCCTTCTGATTTGAGTCAGACTCCCTATTCACAAGTGACTAGTAACCTGTACCAGCCACCCACAAGGTTTCATAAGAGATGTTACATCGTCAGCTGTGACAATTATTCAGTGAATATTCATAAATAATAGCATAAATTTCTTGGAAGAAATGGCTAATCATTCTTCGAATATGCCAGTCTCGCTGATTCTGAAGAATGCAAGTGCCGCCAGTGCAGTGGAGGAAGACGAGCCTCGCAAAAAAAGTCGTGAAGATTGCAGGAAGGCCAAAGAACTCGAGGAAGCTAGAAAAGCTGGTACAGCTCCAGCAGCTGTTGATGAAGAGGGCCGAGATATCAATCCTCACATACCACATTACATAAGTTCAGCACCGTGGTACATTGGAGCATCTACACCTACATTGAAACATCAGAGATTTCAATCAGAAACACAAAACAAAGAGAGCAATCTTGATCAATGTAATAACAGAGGTCAATCCAATAAGGTATCGACAAAGTATCGCGAAGGGGCAAAATATTCTAACGCTAACATTGCACCAGATGAATATGTTCAGCCTAAGGTGGCTTTAGATTACGATGGTAATCATGATAGATGGGCAGGATACGATCCTTCAGAACATCAGTCTATAATAGAAGAATTCCGTCAAGTTGAAGAAGAAAAGAAGAAGATGAAAGCTGAAAAGCTAAATTCAAAAAAAGAGCAAGTGGAGATTAATTTTAATAAAGATGAAGATAAATATGTCGACGAGGTAGGTATGCCAAGAACTAAAGTTGATAGCAAGCAAAGAATCACAGTTAAGAACTTGCGCATACGAGAAGATACAGCCAAGTATCTCAGAAACTTTGATCTTAATTCAGCTCACTACAATCCAAAATCTCAATCCATGCGTGAGGATCCCTATGCTGGAACTGACAAAAAAGTTGATTACAAAGGAGAAAATTCTGTACGATTTTCTGGAGATTCAGCAGAACATACAAATACTCAGATATTTGCCTCTGATGTTTCTGAAAAGGGAATCAATACGCACTCGTTGGCTGATCCAACTGAAATTGAAATTCTTAAAACAAAATATGATCAAAATAAAGTTAAGCTCAGAAATGAAGCGCAGCATAGAATAATTGAAAAATATAGTGGTAAAGAGCATCTTGAGTCACCACCCCAAGAGCTGTTACTGGGACAAACTGAAGAGTACGAGGAATATTCAAGCGCAGGAAACATTATAAAAAGACAAGAAAGATCTGTCATACGATCAAAATATGAAGAAAAATTACAACCCAAAAGCAAAAAAAGACAAAAATCAGCTGAAGAATCGTTAGATAATGAATCGTTCAGTGAATCTTTGGAAGCTGAGAGAACAGTAACAGAGAAAAAACCAAAGCAAAGGGAAATTAAAAGAAATAAATCATATCATATAGATGAGGTTGCAGAAGCCATAGAAAGGATAGAAAGAAATCTTAAAACTGCAGAGAAATGGTTGCAATTAGATGAAAGAAAAAGACCATGTAATAGTATGTACAGCGTGAAAGAGTTAACTGAAAAAGAAATAGAAGCTTCTAAAATAAAACGAGTGCGCGAGGAAGACCCAATGGCGTCCTTGTGAGGCAAATAGTTATTCTGCTCAAACATTATTGCATAAATAAACTTTAGTAAATAATAATTAGCTGGTCACCATTTGAATACTTTTTAAATATAATTTACAGTAAACCCTGTTATGAAAAATATTGAAAATGTATTTGTACAACTTAGTTGAATCTTTTTTTTTCTTATTCTTGTTGTATATTAATTGAAATTTAGATTTAAATGCATTATCAAAAACGATATTGGTAATAATATTGCAGCTGTGAAATTAAGTTAAAATCCAAGAATTTTTACTAAACTTTACAGAATTACATATAGTACTTAACATATTTCAATACAATTTAATTCATTGAAAAAATAAAAATAAAATAAAATATAATACATGAGTCATCTTCTATGCTGAAAAGAATAAATTATTATTTCTTTTTCCTCACCATGAAATAACAGAGGATTGGGAATTTTTTGGGCTGGCCTGTGATGGTATATGGAACAAGTGAGGCTGTTACTGAATTCATAAGAACACGTTTTGCTGAAAGTGCTAACATTGAGCCAAATGAAGAAAATTATTATATTGATCCTGAAGAAATTTGTGAACAGTTAATCTTTGTCTAACTCCTGATGCTCTCATTGATACTGGCTGTGACAACATGACAGTATAAAATATCACTTTAGATGAACCACATTTTTTCGACGCGAATATTTTTCTCTTCGACCGGTATAGTCAAATAACTTCATTTGTGAGTTGTTTCAACGCAACTTTGTTACACACGCTCTGTTTATCTTTATGTATTTATGTCTTGAGCACAAGAGACAAAGTAAAAAACTTTGTTCGCTCTTTTTACGCGCTTGTGCTCGTGCAACTTTTATTTGTAAACGTGCTCGGTAGATTCGTTTGAGTTATATTCAAATTCCGTTATATTCAAATCGTCAAGCAAAAAGCTCAATGCGTTCGTGAATAGGTATTGTCTGCAAGCTTTTATGGTGAAATTTAAGTGAAATAACGCATTCATTCGTTGTAAACAGTTGCAATTGGTCGCAGATGTTACTCAACAAAATTTCACGTTTTATCATTCAAGATGAGTGATCCGAAAATCAGTGAAATTGAGCTTTGATCTCGTAACATATGATCTTTAACATTTGACGATTTTTTCTAAAAAAAAAAATTGCATTAATTTCTACGTGAATGATCCACGTTGAGGTGCATAGATCTCATTAGAAATCGGCGTGGGTCGCGCTTTTGTAAAAATCTGTCAAGATATTTTCGATCATTCCTTCAACATAACAACTCTCGCATTCATAAATGCTAGCATTTACACAATCGCATATCTGTTGAGCTGCAGCAGCATCAGCGCACACACGCTCGAATGGAAGCAGTCATTCACATCGATGCAGGACTGCAACGTACACAACGAGGCGCTCTCGTGTACCGATGCAAGAGCGTCGACTGCTAGCACATAATATATAATAACGCTGTACGTATGTTGTGTACAAGTGGGGACCCCCAGCTCTCTATCGATATTACGCGCCATTGAAACACATTACATTTACGCTTTTTTTTCGTTACACGCAGTCTCCGCGAGTTATGTCAGTGCGCGTCAGTGCGTTTGACGCCTCATAGAGTTCGTCCGCTGCGGTGCTGTGTGTGGTGCACATGAGCCCATAAGCCACGTCGTTGTATTTGGAGCTCCTATATAATTCACGCAGGCACACACGCACCTGTAATAATCCATGCACATCGGCGGTCGTTGATACGAGCCTGTAATCGAGATAGTAATCCGGAAGGCATCGATTGTCTCGCTCGTGTCGGTGCGAGAATCGTGTTACGGAGCAAGAGATATAGAGGGATACGCAGTGTCGAGCGACTCTCGGCGAGACTACGAGACTATTTTATCAAGTTCAAGGCCAAGAATGAGCGAGTTGTTGTCACAGGTTGGTTGAACACGATGATATATGTAAATTATCCTAATGCTCTCTACTTTACACTATTCGATCGATCATTTGTTCTTATTTTTATCTCTTACGATATTTTTTTGCATAAACTTGTTTAAAAAAAACACCCTTTTGATTGGTACATCATAATAATTACTACGTCGTAGAAGATCGTAACGTCAGATAATCATCATTATCTTCCTCGCAATTTAGCTTTATCATTTTCTCGAGTATGTGGAATAATATAACGTCTGCTAAAAGTGCAGCATAACATGATGGTTCGTATCTACGTCATCTCGCAGCAGCCAATGAGCTCCGAGGAGTCGCAGCAACAACCGTTCCTATACATTCTCGTGCACATAATGCAGAGACGTGTCTTCTCTCGTCTGTATAGCATGTAAACGCGGCTCACGTGCGACATCCCAATACGAGTCATTGTACCTCGAGCTCTGTACCATTATTGTATTATGTGCTGCTTAAAATATACACCTTACATTACCCGCAGTCTCCGCTCCGAAATGTTACGCACTCCGTTTTCTAACGTTTCCATAATAGTAATATGTGAAAATACTCAAATTTTATCTCAAACATTTCTTCGCTTCGTCGATGATACTTCGACAACAAAAAAACATGATTGATTCTCGTTCTTTATCCAAGATCGAGAAATCATATTATTTAATATCACCTTGCATACTCGGTGTGATTATTACGTAAAATACTTGTCTGTGCTTGTTTTTTCCCCCCAAAGAATCGGCAAAATTGCGATAACAATTGGCTCGATTAAAAATTAGCCGTCAAGGTAGATTAGAGCTCGGACGCGATTTATAATGAATTAGCGACGAATTCAATAGCGGCGCGGCTTTATATGAGAACTCCGCAATGTCGGTTCTCATGTAAATTCATGCGCCTCGCAATTTACGTCTGAAAATCGTACATACACACATGCATTCGGTCGATGCTAAAAATACATTTAAATTTGTCCAAACGAGCTTTGACGCGAATTTCCGTCAAACATTGTAGCAGTACAAGCACGTGCTTTTGCTATTTCGAAAAAAATAGACGTCAATTTTTTAAAAACAAAATCATGTTTCATCATTGAAATTCGACATACAAGAGCCGTCTTACTTAATACTCGAGCCGTGAAAAATTCTGAGCGTTCTTCTTTTACACACACGCGTGGTGTTGGTGTAATAATACACGCGTGCTTTCCTTGGCTGAGCTCTACGGTGTCTCGGTACTAATATACATACTTAGACACATGCCTATATGTGCAGAATCTAGCAGAGAGAGAATATTCTCTCTCTGCGCCTTGTTATAATATACGGCAGTTTTTAGAGCTGCCTTCGCTCGTAGAACCCTCCACCTTTGAAACTCGAAATACATTATTACATATTATTACGCGCGCCGAGGCTGCGATGCTCCAGTCGGCCGGCCAGTCGTCGTCGCGCACTTTTGGCGTATTATAAATCTCATCTCTTATTGACGCGCGAGGCAGTGTCACGGCGGCGTCTTTCGTTTCGATACACCACGTGCTATCAGCGAATCCCAATAGCCTATACCTATACCTGTACAGTGTGTCACATCGCTGACTGCTATACTGCTACTGCTGCTGCTGCAAGTTGTAGGATTACGACGAGTGAGATCACTGAATGAATTCGATTCGATCAAAACTGTACCCATGACAAATTCACAATTGGTAATTTATTATTTTATCCTTCATCCATCTCGAGAGCGTCTCGTTACCCTTTGGTTTTCGTTTCATTACTTTTCTGATCAAGTTTCTGTCATGCTTCGCAGTTTTTTCGCTGTAATGATGTATCTCTTGTACCTTTCTATTACACGTGATATTATACCTATATCTAACGAGCGTGAGACATATAAAGTGCTGTAACCTCAACTGCGTATTTACATTTCTTGTGTAAAGTATTGCAATTCATTTGACCTTATCTTGAACCACTTGAAAAAAAATTATTCTCCATTCTGAAATTTTTGAACAGTTCTTGACTAACATTTTTGTATTTGTCATACTTATAATTATACCTGTTAATTTTCTTTTCATTATTTCTAGGTATTGCCAGTATTGGCTTCAATCGGTACTATTGTAGCACTCAGTGTAGCTGTCAAGCTTTACTTGAGTCACAAAGATGGCAAAAAGAAGAAGGTGACGCTGGTGGATCCAACGGTCAAGTACAGTTTGCCTCTCATAGAAAAACAAATTATCAGTCATGACACGAGGCTGTTCAGGTTTGGTTTACCCAGCGAAGAACATGTCCTTGGCTTACCCATTGGACAGCATGTGCATTTAACTGCTAAAATTAATGGAGAAGTTGTTATCAGAGCGTACACTCCTGTATCCAGTGATGACGATAAGGGCCACGTTGATCTTGTTGTTAAAGTAATTGCATTGCTTTCATTTCCCTGAACTTTTTATAGTATGTCTTATGTTTGATGAAGTTTCTAATGAAATATCACTTTACAGGTTTACTTCAAAAATAGCCATCCTAAATTCCCAGAGGGTGGCAAGTTGTCGCAACATTTAGAGAGTTTGAAAATAGGAGAGACAATAGATTTCAGAGGACCATCTGGTCGGCTTGTATATAAGGGTAAAGGCAAATTCTCTATCAAATTGATGAGGAAAGAACCCCCTGTAGAATATTCTGTCAAAAAAGTAAGATTTTTTATTCTATTTTATTATTTTTTAATTAAATTATCCATGTTAATTATTGAAAATTTTTCATTTTAGTTAGTGATGATTGCTGGTGGTACTGGAATTACGCCAATGATGCAAATAATCAGACATATTGCCAAAGACCCAGAAGACAATACTCAAGTTTCTTTATTGTATGCAAATCAAACTGAAAGAGACATTCTTCTGCGAGATGAGATGGAAGAAATAGCTAAAAAGCATTCTGATCAAGTCAAAATTTGGTACACAGTAGATACTGCATCTGAAGGGTGGAAATACAGCACTGGCTTTGTTAATGCTGATATGATTTCTCAACATATGTATCCTCCTTCTTCGGATACTCTAGTACTTATGTGTGGACCACCGCCAATGATCAATTATGCCTGCACGCCAAATCTTGATAAGTTGGAGTACGATTCTAAACTTCGGTTTGCTTATTAATATGTACATTTTAATTGTTCCCACCTGAGTTGTATACAACTATATTGTTGTGAGTTTTTTATTAAAAAATAGCTCACAATAATGAACTGTAAATTGTATTTTGTGAAGCATGGGGTATTAAAGTTGTGATTAAAGTATTTGATTTGATATAAAAAAAAACAGTTGTAATAATTTTTTTGTCATTTATTTACTTCAGCATGAAAATTATGCTAAATTTATTTTGTTTTTTAATAAGTTTAGTTAACTTTAATATAAAAGTACGTTATTATGCTCAGCAGTAGTTCCACATTTCGATAATAACAATTAAAATAGCTTGGTTCTGTCACTCGTTTTTAATTGTCACAGACAAAATACCATTTTTAACAGTGGATAGTTTATTTGTTCTTATTTCTTCAAGTGCATCACGCGGGGTAATAAGAATATGAACCACTCCACTATTTTTATTCAAAAAATAAATGCAATGTGAGGCAATGCAATGATTACATGAATATATCTGTTAAAAAACGATTTAACAACGGCCGTGATCAGGTACTCGCTTCCTGGGCGCTGCTTTCAAGATGTTGTCAACTCTGAGAATCATTTCAGCAGCTTCAGCTGCACTGAGTAGTACTTGTCGTTTGACTACCCAGGATTCAGTAATTCCCAAAGTTTTCATGCAGGCAACCTCTCCTTTGTCCATATCTAAAAAAAGTTCAAGAATCATTATTTATTCAAGAAACATAACATGCAATGTGTAAAATTTACAATAAAAAAATGATATATTACCAAGACCATAAGTGCAATTTCCAGAATTATGAGCAGCTCTGAGTTCACTGACGAGCTGAGCTGAATCGTAACCACCGTTATCAGCAATGACAGTTGGTAATGTTTGAAGAGCCTTGGCAAAAGCTTCCATTGCAACAGCTTCTTTTCCTGGGGTAGCGGCAGCAGCCTTCATGACGGCACAAGCCATCACCATTTCACTGCATCCTCCTCCATATACAATCTTAGATTCGCGGACTGTAGATGTTAATACGCACAAGGCATCGTGCAAAGATCGCTCTGCCTCGTCAAGAATTTGCTGAGTGGCACCACGGATGATGATGGTACAAGCTTCACCAAGTGGAACTCCCGAAAAACGCATAATTGTATCTTCACCAATCATAACCTGAAGAATGTAAAAATTATTATAACATAGAAAAAAAATTGTTCATCCGAGTATAAAAATCAAAACACCAACCTGTTCAATACAATCACATCTTCCCAATTTTACTAAATCTGGATTATCGAATGTACTGACAATTTCTCCACCAGTAACAAGGGCCAATCTTTCAATTCCATCAAAGTCAGCATGTTCGATTGCCATGACACCAGCATCGGCGAATAATTGTTCTGGATAATTGTAAATCAATTGTCTGTTGATGAAGACATTGCAACCGTGTTTGACAATCTTGTCTACTTTGTCCTAAAAATGAAAATGAATCATTAGCTTGTTTATTAAATGTTAAATTGCAGTATTAATTAACTGCAAAACTTGCCTTCATCTTTTCTTTTTCTGCTACTTCCAGTTCAGCGATCTTGGCCATCGAGTCTACACGTACTCTTGAACCGAAAACTTTGATTTTATCAGTATCCATGGATGTGTTGGCAATAAGAATCTTGGCATCAGTAATCTTCTGGGGTTGATGCATGCCTGGTTTCTTATCCAAAAGAAAACCTTCGTCCAAGAATGAATCTGCCAGAGTGCCACCCCTTTTCTTGATGATTTGAATGGCTGACAAGTTTCCAGAGCCTTTGAGACGCAATACAGCATCTACAGCCAATTTGCTGAAATGCTCTTTGTGTTGTGACAAGATTTTAGAGCTCAAGGTGGTACGAGCAATGTTCAATAAATCTTCATGGAAACGTTCAGGATCAGCTGAGTTGTCAGCAGTAACGTTGTTAAGGGCTTCGCGAGCAACTGCTGTGGCAATCCTGTATCCAGCGATGATGGTTTGTGGATGGATTTTCTGGTCGATCAACTTCTCTGATTCTTTCAGGATTTCAGAAGCTGTATAAAAAAATTTTTAAAAGTTGGGCATTAGTATGACACAATATTTATCATTTGAAATACTAAAGCATTTTGGATTGTATATTACCTAGAACTGTGACTGATGTTGTACCATCTCCAACTTCATCATCCTGTACGCGTGACATGTCAACCAAGATCTTGGCGGCTGGATTGTCAACACCAACACTCTTCAGAATGGTAGCACCGTCATTGGTGACCTGTACTTCACCAGCCGAGCGACCAGAAGACACCAGGATTTTATCCATACCCTTGGGGCCCAGAGTAGACTTGACAAGATCTCCAATGGCAAATGCCCCAACCGTAAGACTCAACCTCGCGATTTCCGCCTTCTCCTCTTCAGCCTCATTTTTCAAAATCCTCACAGGATTAAGGGAGACCTGCATTGAACAAATATAACAATTAAACTTTGTCTCAAATAAATTTTTACGCAATTCAAGGCCCGACGACTGAATTAATTTGTTTCAGTAAAGTGGGCAACTCAAGTGAATAGCTCCAGCGAATTGATGAGCAATATAACCAAAAAAATTTGCCGACTCGGCTCAATTCGCGATGTACGTTGTTGTATTTTATTCGCAGTACAAAACGATGTAACAAAACGAGAACGTACACAAACAAACGACGGGGGCCAACTTTCAAATGGATTATTTCGAGTGCATAAAAAATTGCCTTATTTGCAAAATGGACACATGGGTTGATTCGGAATACAGCGTAGGCGGTATATCATGCGGCGAGCGCGAATAGATTCGGAGTAAGTTTTCATTGTTAATATTCATTTTCATCGTTGCGAGACAATTTTCATCGTGAAACGTATACGTACCATTTTGGATAAACCAAAAAGACTCCTTTCTTCCTTTGAAAAATTGAAAGAAAATTGATCGCAGGTTTAAGATATCCGTGGGCGATGTTCACTCACGAAACGTACACGAACGACTCTCTAAAAATATCTGCCGAAAAGGGAGCTCGCGTTCGCTTGATCACGTGGCGTGTGCGCGTGGATTTGAAAAGTGCAAAAATCAGATATCCTCGTTTACGGTAGCATCGTTACGCGGATTCGGTTGTTCGTACATCGAATGCAATCGTTGTCATGTCGAGAGGTGCATTTTCTGGCTCCGGTGAATTTTCCAAAATAGCTGCAACGACGAGAGTTTCTTTGGTTGGGCGGATCGATTCGTAATTGGGTCGAGTTCTGAAAGATGGCGCGACGATGCAGGCCTCGCGCGAGTTTTTTTCATCATTTTTGGATTCTCGCATGACCTTACAAGGATTTGCGATTGGTCTATTAGGTTTATTTATGGGTTTGTTGCATGAGTCATAGGAAGAAGGCTTGAGTTACAATTGCAAATTCAAAATTCGTAAAAACTTTGTTATTAAAAAACTTATGAATCACCTGGAGAATTGAGTGAGAAATTTAATGTCATCATCATAGATCATAGACCATAGACAAAAATCATTGGTTTATAGTAGAAGAGCCACTAAAAATAAAGAGAAGTTGTTTGGGTTTTAAAATAAATTTAGTTTCATGGCAGATTTTTGGATGATCGAGGCGAATTATTTGTGAACAATCTAAATTTGTGGTAAAAATATCAAAATTATAAAAAAGTATTAAAATTATACTTTTGCAGCTTCGTCAGCTGCGATCGGTAATATAGTTTTCATTTTTGAAAATTTTTATCATTTATCGCGCGAGAGATACTCTGTTCGACTTTATCTAAAATACAAGTTATCCATGAATTCTCATTTTAAAAACTTCAACAATTTTACCTAATTACCTACCTTTTCTATTAATATCGGCGATAAGCTTTTTAAATGTTCGTATTTCTTCTTCAGATGGTCGTAACAAATTTTCTCTTGAGATCTTGCAACACTTTTAATGAATAATTTTTCATATTTTTCATCCATCTCGGAACAGAGCATGAAAACCTTGACGAACCTCGATTATACCGCCGATAGGAGGAGGTGAAAAAGAAAAATTGAAGGCAGAGCGAATAGCGTGCACGACACAATGAAAATTAGATACACACGCGGCACGCATGAATTTTCTTCGGCTTCGAGTCGCTGAAAAGGCCCCGAACGATCGATGATTAATGATCACTGTGTACATGTATATACGGGCCAGGCTGCTGTTAACGCTCCTGTTTTTACATTATGAATATTCTACATAGGGGCATTCGGCTTTGAACCGCGTCAATCGCGCCGTAAATGCAATATCTCAGGTACAACAATAAAATAACAAATGTTACCTATACGCATATATGTGGAAGCCGGTGCGGCACGCGATTAGCCACGCGCAATAATAATAAAAATACACACACACACACACACACCACATAGCGCGCGCGAGATCAAAGAAAATCGGCTCGATGAAAAGGTTTCTCGTCTTTTTTTCGCTCTACCTCATTGTGCATACGCGCCTTAGAGATTTAGTTCATTCCGTAGTGTATGAAAATTTACAGGTGCTCGCACATAATAATGTCAATAAAGCTCCGCGCGGTTTAAAGTCATCGACGTCGCATCTGCTTCAACTTTTTTCTATGTTCAAGCGCATCCTCCTTTTTCGTCGGCCGACTTTGCAAAGCTATAATAAAAAAATTGCCGAGTTCTAAAATATATGTATCCTATACGAATAATATTTGTCTATATCGATACTCGAGTTACGAGTATATCGCGCGACATTTCAAAAGATGAAAAAAAGTCTGCTTTGTCTTTGCGCTCGCTGCTATCAAAAACACATCTGTGATTCTGGTACTCACACGTGTGTGTGTGTGTGTGTATATATAAGCTCGTATTATCGCGATAGCGCAGAGGCTCGTCGTAGTCATCATTGGGGGGTTGTCGCGCGTACTGTTCGGAATCGTAACGGTCGTTTAAAAATATATGGTACGTACGCGTAGAGTCGAGACTCGAGCTTATATACACCTATATGTTGTACATAACATCAGCTTCGCGCGATGCTCCGTAATGTTACTACTATATGAGCGCACTGCAGCTGTCCCCCATTTCTCCTTGCTCGCATGTGTATACACACAATAGGGGACCCGTCGAATAGCTCCGTATACCTCGTCTCTCTCTCTTTCTCTAGACTTTGTTATAGTCTCGATGTAGAGAGACGAGCGGCTAATAGCATCTTCTTTGCTTTTTTGCGAGTTGAAAAAAAAATTATTATAATAATGAGACAAAGAGCCGATTGGAGCATTAACGAGGCAACTGTGAAGGTATAAACGAGGGCACTCATTGAATTGAAATATTCTTCGAGTCATTTTCACCCGTTACAGGGCCTTTCTTTGGTATCTTAATTTCGACGTTTTTCAAAATATTTTCTCTGTAATGTAATACAGGCGAGAGCTGGAAAAAAGTTCGCCCTCTCCCCGCTCGAGACACGAAGCTAAATTCGACTTTCAAGCTGTACCATGTGGTATTGTAATATTGTTAAAAACATGTCATTTAACGTAAGATCAGGCATTGGTATTAAAACGACTGAAACTGAAATGTATTGAAAGTACTTTTACACGAAGTCTTTCTTCGAAATAAAGGATCAGTGTGGATTTACTATTTTTTTTTCACAATAACTAGATAAGAAATTAATGAAAATTCAAAACTGAACTAACAACATTTAATTCTATACTCGAATTCAAACATTTCGATTGAATTTTAACTTTTTAATATTGATTCATTTTTGGCGTCGAGATCCCAAACGCCTAACGAAAATTCAATCACGATTAAAGCCAGTCTTCTCTGCTAGATGGCGATTACCTTAATACGCGTGAATCTGCAAACGGTGAAATGAAAATATTTGAATAAGTCAAAGCATTTCGAATTCATATTATCTCCTATTTTTCAATTTGTTTGAATTTGGTTCCCTGCGCATGGGCAAATGAAACGCTGATTATATAAGTACATTTAAATGACACGTCGGTACCGATTATTCTATATCTAATATAACACACACACACACACACACAAAGACGCGCAATAATCGGACATTTAAATATATAATCGGCCACGTTCGGCCGAGTTGTGCCCGCTGCACGTGTGCAGTTTCTGAGTCAGCTGCAGCAGCGGCAGCACGACGAGTCATACCGCACACACACATAGTAGTACACCGTATACGCGCAGGTATGCATCGTCCGGTGCTTTCTCTCTCTCTCGCCGCTAATCATTCGTTTTCTTTCTTTTTTTTTTCATTAATATGTATACAACAACGTTCGAGTTAAGCTTTTCCTTTCTCTCTCTCTCTCTCTGCGTCTATCTCTCGCGGAAGTCGAGCGCACAGAGGGCCGCGCGCCTTTGAATGGTCGCGTTTCGCAAAATGATATAACGGGCCTGATCGCCGCGACCAAGCTGCAGGAGGGGGACCAATGCTGCACTCAATATTATACGCGCACGTGTGCCGCGGAACGCCTCTATGATTTTTCGGGCTCGCTCTCGGCGCTATATTAGTCCGATCATCGCCGAGGAATGCTCGCGTGTGTGTGTGTAAGTATTGCAGCCGCGAGGCCACTTACTACCTTGTATTGTACGATTACAGCGAAAAATCAGCGCGTGCAGCTGCTTCGCTGAATAATTCGCTGTACGTTTTATCGCGAATTTTTTCAACGTCGGTGTGCGTGCGCCATTAGACATTGTTCGCCTGTACATTGTACAAGATGTGTGTATTTTATAAATTTTCATATCGTCGGTACGATTCGTAATTGTGCGGGCGCGATATACGATGCAATTATGCGGATTGGAAAAAGTGACGCCCGTATACATACGCAAATTATTATTATTTGCCGCTCGGTTAAGACAGTCGATTTAGGAAAACGAGGCAAAAACTAAACTAATATTGTGGATTGATTAAAGTACTGAGAAAGAGAATTTATCAATTAAGAGAGCCTCTTATGATTTTAAAGAGTGTAGAAAATACTTATTGACTTAAATTGAAAAATCAAATGGTTTAAAAGTTAAATAATCAGTGTCACTTTTATTGAAATGTTGAGAAAACATTTATTTAAGTATCGTTATAAATATTGACAATGGTTGAGAAAAAAATCAGCGCTTCTCATTTATATATCACTTTCGAAGACTTGATATATTATCACAGTTTTTGTGCGCCAAATCATTACGACTTTCATATGCTACTTTTTAATGGGATAGCCAATTTGATTTTTGTCCAAATTTATTATCGCGTTAGTCGCATGCGAGATCTTACCGTCCTTCGTGCCCTGTCTTTTGGTGCACAAGCAAATCTGCTTTGCGTCCAAATTTCTTTTCGCAATAGTCGCATGCGAAATCTTTTCGACCTTCGTGGACTGTTTTTCGGTGCTTATTTAAATTACTTAGCTGCCCAAATTTTTTCTCGCATTTGTCGCATGGGTAATCTTTCCGCCCTTCGTGGACTATCTTTTGGTGCGAAAGCAAACTCGATTTGAATCCAAATTTCTTTTCGCACTTGTCACATGGGTAATCTTTGCGACCTTCATGGACAGTCTTTTGGTGCCGTAACAAATCTGACTTTAATCCACATTTTCGCTCACAACTGCCGCATGCGTAATCTTTGCGACCTTCATGGACGGTCCTAAGATGGACGAGCAAATTCTGTTTACATCTAAATTGTTTCTCGCACTTGTCGCATGGGAAATTATTTCGACCCTCGTGAACTGTTTTTATGTGGGTTAACAAATTTGATCTTTGTCCGAATTTTTTCTCGCACTTGTCGCATGGGAAATTATTTTGACCCTCGTGAACTGTTTTAATGTGGGTTAACAAATTTGATCTTTGTCCGAATTTTTTCTCGCACTTGTCACATGTGAAGTCATTATGACCTCCGTGGATTGACTTTTTGTGGAGTAGCAAACTCGATCTGTGTCCAAATTCTTTCTCGCACTTGTCGCATGAGTAATCTTTCCGATTTTCATGTACTAACTTTTGGTGGCGTAGCAAAACCCATTTATATGCAGCTTTTTTCTCGCAAATGTC